ATGAATAAAATATACAGGTTGGTTAAAGAATGTGCCTGGAATTACGGAATGAAAGGTTGACCAATGCTGGAAAGTGAGAATTCTCCCATACCATGCGCAGAAAATCTTGTGACATAAATTGCACTGAGATCTGCAGCGTAATGGTCAAAGACCATGGTCAAAGGTTGTGTAAAATCATAAATCTACAGTTTGACAGCTACTGATGTTAATGAACAATTTTAATTCTTTTATATGTATACATTTCAGAATTATCTGGTGGATGAAACCATGACATTTTATGGAACTGTGCTTTTAAAGAAAAACTAGACTGGCGGGTTCTACATAACTGTCCTGTTTATTTGTGTTCATCTTTTGATTAAACTCTTAACCAAAGTTTACTGAAATCAGAATGCCTGTCTATCGTAAACAATTTTTATCAGAAGACTATTCAGTATTTTTATGCCCCCAACCATGAAATGGTCAGGCATATAGTGTATATCATTTTGTTTTCATTCCATCACAGTAAACTTTTTTGTTGGGTATACAAATGAGTTGCTTTGTAATATGTGTCTTTATTTTGCTGATTGAGAAATAAAGACTTGATGGTTTTGTTTTTAGTTCATCTCAGCTGAAAGGTCAATTGAGCTTTTCTGATCACCAATTGTCCATCCGACCATTTAGCTGTCCATCCATCTGTCTGTAAACATTTCACATTTTCAACTTCCCAAGAACTACTAGGCTGATTTTAAGCAGAGTTGGTACAAAGCATTCTTGGGTAAAGTGAAGTTTAAATTGTTAAAATGAAGAGCCAAGCCCCCTTACAAGGGGAGATAATCAAGAGAAGACAAAAATAGGGTGGGGTCATTAAAAATTCTCAAGAACCACTTGGCAAGAAAAGCCGAAACTTAAATGGATGCATACTGGGATAGTGTAAATTCTAAATTGTTCGAATCATGACCCCCTGGGATAGGATGGGGCCTCCATGGGTGGTCAAAGTCTTGCATGGTATATATAGGAAAAATCATCAATAATCTTTTCAGGAACAACAAAAGATTAGTCATTTATATTGCAGCATCCACAGGTAATGTGGATTCAAGTTGATTTAAAACATGACCCTGGGGTAGGGTGTGGCCACTATGCTTGATCAAAGTTTTACATGGGTATAAATAAGAAAAATCTTCAAAACGGAAATCAATTTCACATGGAAGCGAATTCTTTTCAATGAATTGTTTAAGACAATTAAGCACTTTAAAGTGACCATTCTGTTCGACTTTTCATCATTTGCCCTTAGATGTCGTATCTTAAGTTTATTGGATCATGATATTATTAGCTCTTCTGAGCAGAAGGCTTCAAAGAGCTAATGCTATGGCAATTTGTGCAGTGTCCATCAACTTTTAGGAATATGGGCCATAACTCAAGAACCCCTTGACCAATTTTTGTCAAATTGTCAGAGTATCTCTGGTCAATTGGCTCTCATTTATACTAAAAACAGGGTTGTGACCCTTAAGCAAGGGAAGATAATTGAGAAAATGATATAAAAAGTACAGGTTGCTAAAAAAATCTTCTCAAGAAGCAGGGGGCAGATTATCACAAAACTTGCATACAAGAATGAGGATATGTTGTAGATTATGTTTTGTCAAAACTTTGATATTTTGCTTCCTATAAGGCAAAGGGTCATCAAGTCTTGTCAATTGATGCATCTTAGGTTACATATCAAGTTGACTCAAAAGTAGGCCACAGTGACCTACGTTTTTGAATATTTTCAGATACCAATTGGCTTAAAATCAGCAAACTTTGTCAGCTACTTCATCTTGGGTCCTCAAAATGATTCAATTAAAAAGAAGGTCACAGTGATCTACTTTTGGAATTTCAAGGTAATATTTAAATATTTCAATTAATATAATGCTTTGAATCATCAAGCTTTGTCAGTTGATGCATCTTGGGTTCTCAGAGTGTGTTAACCAAAATGAAGGTAACAATGACCTACTTTTAGAATTTCAAGGTTTTATCTAGATAAATAGAATACTATGAGGCTTCAAATACAAGTGATAGGTATGTTGTACAATTTATCAGAAGAGTGATTCAAGGCCCTTGGACCTCTTTCGTTAATTTGTCATTGTATGAGAAATGTCCAGGAGTAGATTACCTCCAAATTCCTTTGATGGATATATGTCTAGTGATGTATTGATGTTATACAAGGCAATATTACAGGTGTGTTGAGGGAAGAACATTTTACCGGGTAGTTGATTTTTTAAACGCATGTACTTATTACAAAGTAAGGCTATATAATTATACAGATATACATGTGGACTAAATAAAAAGATTTGAAATAAAAGTGACCTTTTATTATAATTTTTGTATGGTGAATAATAATGAAATATATAAAGAGAAAGGTATGAATTGAACAATTAATAATGTTTCTATTGCCACTCATAACTTAGATAGATCTCAAGATTTAGCTTGTAAACTCATTATTTTAACGTTTTCTCAAAATGAGCCCCTTAATTTGCCCCGTTTGTACATTTGTTTCTCCAAAAGCATCTTGGAAAGTAATTTTTAGAGTGCTTGTCTCCCCCATTTGAACATTTATAGTCGACAAGCAACCTACACCATTATAAGTGGGCCCTCCACTTATCCGCACAACTACTCTATAAACGGTGTCTTTAACAAGAAGCAATGGTTTTGGAAATATTACTGGAATTTCTTTGTAGTTCTGAGTTTTCTGCTTAGTTTGGCCTTTTCCTAAAAGCTGGCCATTTCCAGTATAAAGATACATGGAAACCAAAAGACCTGCTTCACATACAGTCTCTGTACCGTAAACAAATATTCCTCTTAAATAGAAAGTATCTAAGTTTATAGTGAATGATATCCTGTCCCCATTTAGGGAATTATCAACAACCCATGTAGGATGTAGACTGTGACGTAAAAAGCGATTGATAATTATGTCCTGGTCTGTTATTAGACATCTTATCTTGGAGTGCTGTTCTGGTACTGGTTGTTGTTCAACTGTTGAAAAGTACACCATGATCTTCAAAGATAATTCATTGTCAATTATGCCTTTATTAACAATATTTTCCAAAAAAAAGTCCATTGACATCATTCCGAACCTTAGAAAGGGACTTATGTCATGCCAGGTGTGGGGAATGTCTTCTTTAACTTTTTTAGTCCAAAGATTGATGTGATTAAATAGAAGTTCCTCATGTATGCAGAGACTGTCTCTTTTAACAATATTCAAGAGTAATTCCAGAGGAATTTCTTGGAATTCTTCAGTAGTTATACTTAATAATACTTCTTCAATGTGTTTGTCTAAAAATTCAAGGTCTTTGTTTTTGATATCTGTTACGCTGTTTTCATGAGAAATAGTTAAAATTTTAAGAACAGTATTTTTTGATATGTTTTGTTCTAAGAATATGCAACATTTTTCCATAAGTTCAGTAACACTATAATAGTCAGCAATCTGGTAAATCTCTTCTACATTATCTAAAGTAATGTGTATTTCAGAAGTGTACAAGAACTCTAACATTTCCTTTGTATGTTGAATAGAATGAACATCACACTGAATTATGTTTGATTCATCACTGGCATGATTCCACTTTCCACAAAGCCGGGCCTCAAACCATTTTGATCCAAGAATTAATACAATTTTATGGGTTTCAATGATGGAATTATCTTGAAGCTTTAACTTTACGTCACAAAGTCTCTGGTCTCTGAAGGCTTGTATTAACTTTCTCCCAAGAACTGACATTTGTGTAGTCTGAAATACGAAATAGCTTCATATATTAAGACAAAATGACTATGCTTAGGTCACAATGGTTAATGGAAAGTCACCTTGACCTCATCTTACAATGTGTATACACTGATTACCCGGTAGATGTTTATAGGAACATACAAACAAAGTAGGATTCATTGCCTGATCTAACAAATGTGTCTGAAAAAAACGTGTACATGAATTACACATAGAAGTGATGTTAAATTCATATGAATGCAAGGTAATTGTACAATAAATTTATAAAAGCTAGTTATCTTTAATCTTTCCTTCACTGTTACTTGAAGTTTTGCCAGTACATATAACAGTAACATATAACTTTAATAGTTTGACCCTCGATCTTCCAACCTCTTAACTTATCCAAAGAGGGGGACCAGTGAATAAGTTTGATGACGATCAATCAAAAGATTCTCAAGATACTCATGGCTGTAAGAACCGGGCCGGTTCCCCCTCCCACCCCCCAATAATTTTGCCAATGTGTAGAATACACTGTACTATAGAAAATATACATGTAGCTACTATATGCTTGTGCCCCCTCAATAATAACGTCCGATGACCTTTTTTTTTGCTTGTCAAGGAATTTTGGTAGTTGATAGTGCCCCCCAACTGAAAATGTATGGCTGTGCCCCTTCAAAGTGAAATTGCTTCCTACGGGCCTGATACTGATCAGACCAACTGACTGCTTAAAATGGCATGCCCTCTTTTTTCAAGCAACACAAATATACAAGTCTTTCAATGAGGATTCAAACAAACAAATATCATTACATATTTACTTCATATATTTAATTAAACATATATAATGTACAAGTATATACACAAGGCTATTAAAGAATCACGATGAAGACTATAAACTTAAATAACAAAACACATATTAAGTATGAAAGCCCTAGCACCAACTGTTCAAAAGTTATGGCCAAGGTTAAAGTTTGGCAATTTTTTGTAAAAGTGGGTCACACTACAAGGTCAAGGTCACGAGGTCAAATTTGGTGGTACCCAAAGAAAGATTTTGTCACAAGGAATACACCTGTGAAATAGGAAATTTTTGATTTTGGGGGCATAAAGAGTCAAATAAATACAATATTGTTCAAATATATATGAAGTAAAAGTGGTTCATTCTAAATTTCCTCATTATACTAAAAGCTTTAATCAATACATTTCAGTGTGTTTTATAGTGGGCCTATAGATAAGGTGTGAAAAGCTTATTTCAACTCTCCCCTCCAAAAAATATTGCTGAGAAATTCAGTTAATTATGCACATTCACTTCTTTTATCCTTGATGGAAATGAAAACAGAGCATCCTTGAAGTACAATAAGTATAACATAATACATCAGGTATCAAAAAAATATTGCTAACATAAAGAGAAAATATCAATGAATGAAATTGATATTCTAAAGTTAAAAAAAAAAGATAAGGGGGCATATATCTATAGTGTTTCTGGATTTTGAACAAAGTATTTCTTCCTGCTATAAGCCAGTACATGTAACTATCTGACAGTAGAAACTATTACATAACTGGAATTTTTACTGCAGTTGTGACATTACATTGTGACATGATCTACCTTCATACATACATTCATACATATAATGATATTTCATATATCAAGTCAATAAAAGAGACATAAACTCGCTTAGAAAAATGTACAGATGGCGAGCACAAGTCATGTCAGTTATGTTGACTGGGAAAGGCAAATTATAATGGCTCAATATAAATGAGGCTACGGAAGCAAAATCCTCGTCAATCTCCTTGAAATTATTTCTGACAAGTCTCTGTAACTCAGTCACAACGTTTCTCTGAACAGGATGTAAGTAGTTTGAAGCACCTGAAAAATGAGCAAAATAATTAAGATTGTTGGAGCTAAAACAGTTGTGAAATATTTTATAACACATGCATATGATACATTTTCAATCATTTTTGTGTGCTTTTGGTACATAAAGATGAGAAACCAATGAATATACAATGAATACCTGTCATGTATGTGCTTCCTTTTCTATAACATTTAGCAGAGAGTAGCATCTGCTAAATCTTGTATATAGCTAAATGTTTTCATGTATATATTTAAAATAAGCATTTCCTGGAATGTGCTAAATTAATTCTACACTTGCATAGTAAACTAGAAGTGTTTGTGAAACACTGATGCCACAGATAATTTTACTGGTTTAGCTAATAATTTACTCATACCAACAACTTCAGGATTTTGAAACAATACTTCTGGAATTCCATGCAGGGTATCTCCCAGCTTCTGTCTTCGTATGGAATGAGTATTCCATTGGTCCATTATATCTTTTAGATCTCTCTTTATCAGTGGAAGATAAACAAATTGTATACAGGATCTAAAAAATGCAGTTGATATATGTAAATATACCGGTATTTAGACTGTTAGTAGCAACAACTTTATTTGCAATTCATTTTTTGAAATAATAAGGTATGCAAGTGGCCCTGGACAAATCCTCTCATCTGAGTCATGCTGTCACATGAATATTCAAAAAGACTCCCTCCCATACTTGATCAATTTCAGTTATAAGGCTATATACCAAGGTACATGTACATGCTAACATACATGTAGGTGCACTAAGTCAGAGTGTTATTTTAGAAACTATAGTGTTGTTCTTCTAACATTCCCACAATGTAATAAGCGAAAATCAAAATTTCATGTTCACATTGAATGTAGCTGTTGCAATGGCTCTTCCATTAATTGTTACTTAATACCCAAAGAATAATAGTTTTGAAATATGAGTCATGTTTGCAGGCAAGACTGGGAGTTATAAAATGTAAATATAAGCATTAATTGAATCACTATTTTTTAAAAAATGAAGTCTCATAAGTCCAACAGTGTGTGCAAACAAATTTTCATAATGTGCTACCACAATTACAAGTTACTCTATTTGTTTACCATGTTTAAACACACTGTTGCAGTTAGGAGACTACATCTTTCAAGAAATAATAAATGAATGCTTTAATATAGCAGTTTCTTTTCAAAGCATAAAAAATGCTACCATAATTTCTTTTGTAAGTACAAATGACATAATATTTTTATCCTCCATGTTACAGTCTATATTTTGTTACCATTTACAGAGATATAGACGACACTTTATTATCAATGACAGGGTATCATTCTTATCCAAGACAAAATAAATAGACATGTACATCTAATATTTCTTTTCAAGGAGGTTCATCTGAACTCCTTTTTCATCTATACATACTTATGTAGAGGATTTCCTATTTCCAGCAGTTCTTCATACACCAATCCCTAATAATAAATTCCCAAGATATATTTTCGTATTTTTTTATATTTACTATGGCCATGCATATTACCATAAACGAAGTACATGCATAGTTAAAGCTGAACACGCTTCGTAAAAAGAATGTGTCCGACATATTCGATTGGAGTCGTGTTCAGCTTTAACACACTGTAAAATGTAACTTTTGTCAGTAAAATACTTGTTTTCCTAAATAAATTAAGAGAAACATTTTTGTAATATTTCAGATGTGGCAATAACTTACTTTGAAATGATCCATCCAGAAATCTGCTTTCATTTGCTTTAAAATGCCCCAAAATCTTTCAATTCTCTACAATTAATGTTTGTAAAAAACGTTATTAAAACTTGGACATATGATTTTCTTTCCAGAAAATGTTATCTGTGTGTGTTTTGGGGGTGTGGAGCTGTTTAAAACATGTACAATGCTAACCTGATTTGCAGTCGAAGTTCCAAAAGACACTGCACTTGGATCTGTCTTAAGAAATGTTTGGAATGTTGCGATGATCCCATTTTCTGTGCCAGTATCAGCTCTTATCTTTTGAGGACAACCTTAAACAGACTATGATGTTATCAATATATGCCTTCCCTTCTAATTCATAACAAGTATTTTGAAATTTTGGTGGCTTAATTTCAGAAATCAATTGACATTTCTTGCAGCACACTTGCAATTGTAACTTGTCATTAAACATAGTACCAGGTGATTCTGTCACTATACCTTTCATAGTATGAACTGCATTCAGGAAGTATTCTGCTACAACCTCCGGTCTTTTATTAGTCACATCTGCTTCCAGCCATATCAACTGTCTGGAAAATCTTTCAAAATAAATTGAAAATACGGAAGTGGTACAATCTTAGAAAGACACTATATTTTTCTCTTATATATATGCAAAATAAGAAATTAGATTTTATAGTTGAAAGTTTTCCATTTATGTGAATGTTGTTGATCCCATCAATAATTTAAAACAACATCTGCAATACAGCAGATTAAACAAATAAATTCAAGTCTTTCTCATGAAAGTAAATATACCAGATTTTTAAAACCCTTAACTTACTAAAAAGTGTGATGGAAGAACATAATGGAAGGATGGAAAGACAGAAGTTGGAAAGAGCAAAGTACGGAAGACAGACATGGCAAATGATATATGTTTTGGCCATATTCATGGTGGGGCATAAAAATGTCAGATATGAAATGCTTCTATTTGAACAAGACTAATCATCGGCAGTGGCAGATTTAGAGGGGGCCTGGGCCCCCCTTTTGTGTCAAAATATCCATAAGATTTAAGAAATCATATTTTTTTGGGTGTGGCTGTGGGCCTCTACCCCAACCCCAAACTGGTCAGCACCCCCCCCCCCCCTTTTCCAAGATACCTGGATCCGCCACTGATTGGCTCTGCTGCTTTCCTTCAAAAGATTTTTTTTTTATATTTACCTACGGTAATATATTTTCCTATGTAAAACTTTGAATGATCCCCTATTGTTGTCCCACCATAACCCTAGAGACAACTAGAGATAACAAGAAATCTGTGAGCCAGTGCTCACTAATAATACCCCTGCTCTGTTGTGAATACACAAGTTCAGTTATGGACAGACACAGTAATAATCAGGAAATTGACATCGATTTGTACAAAAATGATTCGCAACATAAAGCATGCCTAAACAATGAGTGAGTTAAAATTTCAAGCATCTGCGATGAGAAGTTGCTGAGAAAACTGCGACCAAAATTTCTTATGTATTGTACGGACAGATGCACGGATAAACAAGAAGTTGACATCAGATTCGTATAAAAATGAATCCCACCACATGGCATGCCTAAACAAAGAGTGTGCTAAATTTTCAAGCAGCTGCAATGAGTAGTTGCTGAGAAAACTGCGACCAAAATTTGTTACGGACAGACAGACAGAAGGACAGACACACAAGGGTAAAACAGTATACCCCCCTCTCCTTTGGAATGGGGGTATAATAATTGAAAAAAAAAATGAATATACACTATGTCCAGAAACTTTTACATCTGGTCCAGTGGTTCTTGAGAGGAAGTTTTTTTTTTTTAATTCACTATATTTTCAACTAATCCTTGTACAAGAGCATGGTTCATCTGGAAGAAAAAAAAACCCTCACCCAAGGATGCTTTGTGGCAAGTCTGGTTAAAATTGGTCCAGGGTTCTGAGAAATATGAAATGCTAAATGCATACTGACAGACAAGCAGACAGATGGACAGAATTCAATTAGAAAACCACATTTGAGCTTTTAAAAAAATATAATTTAAAATTTTGATGGTTTCTTTTTGTATCTACATGTAAGTAAAATATTTGATTTCAGAAATTATTATACTTTTATGAGAAATCCATGTAGAACTAACATTAAATCAAACCACGCCAAAAAATCTTTTTAATTGAAAAGGAAATGCTTCAAAAACAATATGTCCACAATTATACAGTCCAAAAGAATATTTAAAGTTTTAGACATGAAACTACGAAAATCACATGAAATTACTTTTTTTTTTTTTTTTAAAAAATAACTTAACATATTGTATTTGAATACATTGATCATTAGTGTGGAATGTTTAAATTAATCAAACAAAACAACAAATCATACCCATCAATGCAACCATGAATGCTTATACCATATGGCTTTAGTTTGTCATAACCATCTATAAATGCAGTTTCATGTTTGGAATTACAGTTTAATTTCTGCTTGCAGGTGTCTCATAAGAAGTTAAGACATTTGATATATTTGTTTAATTTTAAAGCATTTCAAACCTATTTCAAATATCTTTTCTTGACATGACTGACATTTAGGACAGATATCTACTATAAAATAAATGATATGTTTGTGAAACACTGATGCCCCAATCTCAACCAAGCCTTGGAGTGTCCATCCTTAGAAGCATCATCCATGCTAATTTAGTTAAAGTATGGCTAAAATTCACTCATCTGGAAAATATAGGGCAAATCCAGCATTTGAAGCAGAAAGGATGGTGTACATCCCAGCATCATCCATGCAAGTTTGATCCAAGTAGGGCTTATAGTAACATGGACATGTATAGGAATGAAGCTGCTTCAAAAACATTAACCTGGTCAATCATCTGAAAAATGTAAGTAAGATCCAGCATCTGAAGCAAGTCTGGTAGTGTCCATCCCTAGATGCATCATTCCTGCAAGTTTGGTCCAGGTAGGGCTTATAGTTTCCAAATGGACTTGCTCCTAACACTTTTACAGGGATGTGACGCTAACACCCACACCAACAGTATAGCATAAGCTCATCTCGACATCATCGGGGTGAGCTAAAAATAAATTACACAACCTACTTTTCATCTTATCAAATTGTAAAAGTTACATAAATAAATAAATAACAGGATTGATTTTGACTCTTCATTCATGAACCAAAAGAAGGCAATATTACACTTACCCAAATGCCAAACAAAATTTGGACCCTATAAATACACATTGTACAAATAAGTCCCTGACTTTCATATTCTGTACAGCAGGAAATTAGCTCGTGGAAACAATATTTGCAGAAATAAGAACCCCTCAATATCATATAGTGAATAATTCTTTTAAAAAATGATAAATTGAAATATTACCATTATCTGTGGTTAGATTCTTTAATTCTCTCTGTGTTTCATTGCAAACATAAAAGCAGTAATTAATAAAAGCAGAGAAACTGATGTAGACCGTCTTGCTAATAATGAAGGTTTATGGATCAATTTAATCACTTAATACATGTAGTTGTTTGTGATTTTGAAGCTTAATTTAATTAATAATTAATTAATAAATATAATTCTATAACTTAATAGTCCACCAAAAAGACGTGCAAGGTAATTATCCACGAAACACACAGAGTTAACCTTTACATGTGCTTATTACTTATTCTTATTACCTTTAATCGAGGCACTTACCTAGTAAAAACAAAGGTTACACATTGATTTAGTTATACTAACAGTTCAACATAACTACTAATAGAAGGGAAAGGAAAAAAAAAAACAAGGGAAAAAAATTAAAATCATCAGGATGCGTGACAACGCTTTGACTTCAAATTGGTATTGATCTGATATTTCGTTATATTTAATCGGGTTCAGAAACGACATGACATAATACGCAAGGAAAATACATGCAGTGCTGAATTAATAACATTTCCTTTCTGCAAATTCAAACAACCCTGATTTACTAGAAATTTAAAAAATTGCGATTTTAACCTGCTGTACAGTACATGTACAAGGTATATTTTACTTTTATTCTTGCATAATTATTTTTCAAGCTTTGAAGTGTTGAATTTTGTCACATTTATGAAATTAATACATTAATAAATACTGAGATGATCAATGTTTCATAATTTTTCTTTCAGTCTTCGGTCTATACCTTACTAAAGTATTGCCTTCTTCTCAGTCTTCTCTGCTTCCTTCTCTTTATCCCATCTTCATCCAAAAGACGAACTATATCTCTTGCTATGGACCTGTATCATTAAACATTTATTTCATTTAATGTATCAAAATTTTACAATTATTGTCTATTTTTGAGGGCAAATATTATAACTTTTAAGCCCAAGAGAACCACCACCAACCAAGGCTCAGCCATGCAGTCTTAACAATGGTTTTTTAAGGGTGAAATTTTTCAATACAACTCTCATTGAAAGACCAAAATATTTGTTATACCCGGGTATTTTACTGAATGGTTCATGAAATATAATTATACATGCTTATAGATTCCATGCAGTCAGCAATTTTTGGGAACATGACTCATCATTTTTAATGCTAACTGTTGCTACATTCTGTTGCATTGGATGGGCATGGTTTAATCAGTCATTGGAATATAGTGTTTTTATCAAATGTTTCTCAATGAATCAGATTCAACTAATTTACATGAAAGTATAACATCAAAATATTTGCATGTTTGGATGTATTTAATCATGGATGGAGGAATGGACTGACTTTGATTATATACTTACCTGGTAATATTCAGCTGGTGTTTCATTTTTATAATTCTTCTTAGACTTTCAGCACCTGAACATCCATTCAGTATTTCTTTCTACAGAATATTGTAAATTGCATGTATAAGGTTTGCTCTATATAACTTTATGTGTATTTTAATTAATATATGCAAGTTTTAGCATAATTTTCCGAATTTAATAGTACACTTTTTCTCCTTAAATACATGTACATGTGTAATGTATGTAATTTTAAATTTTGGCAACATTGATGATTTAGAGCTGAAAAGACATCAGGGATATGAATTCCACTAAAATATGTCAAATTCCACACATCTTTCATACATATACATCCAACAAATAAGTTAATCATTGTGTTCTAAACTTTCATTGAAGAATTACCGGGTACTTAATAACAGTTAAAAGAACAGAAATATTTAACATGCACGTGCACCTTTATATTTATGAATTTTCTAAGAAATAAAATTATTACCTGTGCAATATCAAATATTTCATCTAGAGCAATGTCTGCAAGCCTCCTTTTCAAACCAAGTCTAGGTAGAACTTTTCTTGTTAGGCAATTATAACTGCAAAATTTTTAATCACATCGAAGCATCATCATTGAATGACAATTTATGTATTTGATTAAAAGTCATGATACATTACTAAGACTTCCAAAAATATTTTTTTTTAAATTTTGTATTATAATACCTTATGTCACAGTTATGGTTTCTCTGGATCAAATAATGGATTAAACGGTAGTTAAAACCCTTATAAAACAATTCTTTTATCTTTTCAAGTATATCTAAAAGAGAAAAAGAAACCTTTTAGCATAAAGTACTGATCATTTTATTATATAATCTACAGTTCAGCTTATACAAGAACATGATCTAGAGGATTTTCCCGATTTTCCCCAGAATAATGAAGTTTAACTGTATATCAAAACAAAACATTGCAAATGTCCATTATTCATAAGATATACACTGCTGATCAGACTAAAGACAATGCTGAAAAGGAACAGCTTATTCTGATAAAGCAAAAAACAGCAGAACAGTAATTTTGAGCCAGGCTCATTGCTCTACTCTTAGAGCAATAATTGCCTTTTTGTCAGGGTGTTCAACTGGATATGCTGCTTCCTCACTGCCAAATAAAATTTACAAGTTAAAAAAAAAGTATGTATATGCTCAGACGCTTTTGAGACAATACAACACTAAAATTAAACAAAGTAAAGTAAACTGATAAATTTTCTTAACAAACAAAATTAATGGTAATGTACTTTGGTTTCTCACATGTGCCATGATGTACTACGATTTATTAATATGGTTTTAAAAGATGCATGTATGCAAAAAGTTTTCATCCAGTCCCCCTCAGTGTCTGTAGCACATACTAAAAATAAAGGTAGCATAACCAGGATAACACTAATGCAGGGAGCACGCGACCTGTGGTACACTTTGATGCAGAACTTCCCACTGAGCACTCATCTGAGCATAAACGTTTGTCCTTGCTGCATCAATGTTTATTTTTGTACATGGTGTAAGACCCCAGAACGATCCATGTGATAAATTCAATGTTCACTATTCTGTAAATGAGCTCTGCTCTCTATACTTCTGAGTACTTTGATTTTAAATATCACTTACCTTGTCTAATCATCTTCACTTCAGCTTATAATCTTTGTAAAACTACAGATAAGGAATGCAATACATATAACACCCAGTTCACTTCAACAGTATATAACTAAATATACGTTTACAATGTTAATGATAAGAAACTCCTTATACCATATGCTTTACTCTCAGGGTCATTCAGGGTTGCAAATAATCATTAGCCCACTCTCAAAATTTAAGTGTTTTGTCTGAAGGTAAGGGTTGATATTTTCCTGGAAAATTCACTAGCACAAGGGTTACTGATCATTAAAAATTTCTAGCCCAAACCTCAAACTAACTAGCCCAACAATTTTTTAATGCAAAATAAATTAAAACACAACAAAAGTAAATGTTTCAAATGCTTTGGTAACAGAAACAAATTAAAACTAGTTTTCAGTCAAAAGAAACCAGTTTACATACATAGAAAACAGAAATAAAGTCACAAGAATATTTTCTGGTCTGCTAGTCTGGCAGACTATAGTTACATTTAAATTAGCTAGCCCTTGAAGTCTTAAAACAATTAGCCCCAGACTTTGGCTACCAATTTCAACCCCTGTTGAAGGCTTCAAACTCTTCAGGATGTTATTGCCCACATAGCAAGTAAAAATCTTATTGGAACTTCAAAACATACTGAATCGTGTCATCATTACAAATATCTTAGATTACAAAAACCAAGTGGAAATTTCAAACAAGAGGTATCTAACACCACAGAAAAACAATAGGGCATAGCTTTTTGGATTATGATAAAAGAGGATCCAAAACTTTTTCTAATCGAAATTGTGGAAATTAATTAAAAATGGAATTTGATTTGAAGTAAAGCAGTATGCATAAAGAGTTTGTTTCTCTTTTCTTTATAATTGTTTTCAACCTTTTATTTACATTAATGTGGGCCCCAAAGCAACAATACAGGCTAGTAAAACTCGTGAAGTTAGGATCCTACATGACTTCTATACTTTCAGACAAGCAATATCAGTCTTAAAAGACAAGTGTAAAAAGTCATACCTTGTGGGCAATGACACCTTTGTGAGGAGCAACCGTGAGAGAATTAAATCACGCGCATGAAAGAAATTCACGCGCACATGTCTGAATTTCAAAAGTGCGAGGGAAAAATTCGCGAAAAAGAATAAATATACACATGCAACTTATTTGGAACTCACCAGGATTTTGACAAAAAGGTTGCATAATGTGTGATAAAAAATTTATCAAATCATATTCCCTCTTGCATAGTCAGCTTAAGAGTTACACAGAGCTCATTTTGTTATATTCCGAATACATACAAAACCTAGTCTTTAAATCAAATTTACTTACTTTTGCATGTTGCAAAGACATTCTTTCAATACTTTTGCAATATGTACATCAACAAGAAAGTTTTTCTGTCAAAATTCACATTTTGTCATTAGAAAAGCACAAATAATGAACTTGTACTAAATAACTAACTACTTAACATGCTAAACTAGGCTAGGGTTTCATTCCCTGACGAGAAAATTCGAACTAGGGGCCGTTGCAGAAGAAAGTTAGGTTTGAAAGTTCTACACCAGTATACCTTAACATTTAAGTTTGAAAGTTCTGTTCAGTTTAACATTTAAGCTTAAAACATTGCTGGTGTGGCGTTTACTTCTTACCGTGTTTGTCCTTGCTTGTAACTTTTGTTGTCGAAGACTGAGATCACTGTCACTTCAACAGTAAAATCAACTGAACCCACATGTAAGGATCTCTCTCACATAGACGCTTGGTATCCGTCACGCTAGAAATAATATTTCTTCACGCTCAAGATAATATTTCCTTCACGCTTCAAATAATGTGTGCAAATCTCTCTCACATTAACGCTTGTAGCCGTCACGCTAGAAATAATATTTCTCCACGCTCAAGATAATATTTCCTTCACGCTTCAAATAATGTGTAGTCTGTCACAATAATAATCGTGTCTCCCAGCGTTTCAACATAATTATTGTTTCAACAAGGGAGAGTTCTCGTTCCTGTCACTAGAAAAGAAGTTATCTTTCCCGATGAGAAATAAAAATAAAGTTTCTACGAACAATTAAGGCGCACATTATTATTGTTGCAAATATGGTGTGTGGTTTTTTTTTTTTTAACGTGCATACATTTTTATTTCCATGAAAATGGCTTCTTTTTTTTTCTTTTTTTTTAAATTTTCAAACAGTAGTTGTTACATGTATGCCTTCTTATAAATCGTTGAAGTAAACGTAATACAGCTGTAATATGAATCTATAATCTTGGTGCTAAATAAAAAATAATGTACACATCGACCGACAAGATGATAATTATTGCTGTTGGCAAGATTATAGTTGTGAAACAAAACATCAGAGGATAAAATTATTATTATTATTGGGCTAAATAAAGATAATTTGTACACACATTATGGTAGTATAGTATGGAAACGTGATAATTGTAATTTTTGCGGGGAAATATAATAATATGTTGTAAAAAAAAAAAAAAAAAAAAAAAAAAAAAAAAAAAAAAAAAAAATTATTTTTTTTTTTATTAATTTTTGGTACAATTATAAATATATAGGAATAATAATAATGTGGAGGTACCCAAATTATTATTGTTGCAGAAAAATAATAATGTTGTAAAAAAGCAAGTTTTTTGTTTTTGTATGAGATCATTATTTTTGGTATAATTATATAGGAAAAAATAATAATAATGTGGGGGTACCCTACGGCTTTCCATACCTCCACATTATTATTATTCCTATATTCTTATAATTATACCACAAATTAATAAAAAAAAATAATAATTTTTTTTTTTTTTTTTTTTTTTTTTTTTTTTTTTTTTTTAAACATATTATTATATTTCCCCGCAAAAATTACAATTATCACGTTTCCATACTATACTTCCATAATATGTGTACAAATTATCTTTATTTAGCCCAATAATAATAATAATTTTATCCTCTGATGTTTTGTTTCACAACTATAATCTTGCCAACAGCAATAATTATCATCTTGTCGGTCGATGTGTACATTATTTTTTATTTAGCACCAAGATTATAGATTCATATTACAGCTGTATTACGTTTACTTCAACGATTTATAAGAAGGCATACATGTAACAACTACTGTTTGAAAATTTAAAAAAAAAGAAAAAAAAAAGAAGCCATTTTCATGGAAATAAAAATGTATGCACGTTAAAAAAAAAAAACCCACACACCATATTTGCAACAATAATAATGTGCGCCTTAATTGTTCGTAGAAACTTTATTTTTATTTCTCATCGGGAAAGATAACTTCTTTTCTAGTGACAGGAACGAGAACTCTCCTTTGTTGAAACAATAATTATGTTGAAACGCTGGGAGACACGATTATTATTGTGACAGACTACACATTATTTGAAGCGTGAAGGAAATATTATCTTGAGCGTGGAGAAATATTATTTCTAGCGTGACGGCTACAAGCGTTAATGTGAGAGAGATTTGCACACATTATTTGAAGCGTGAAGGAAATATTATCTTGAGCGTGAAGAAATATTATTTCTAGCGTGACGGATACCAAGCGTCTATGTGAGAGAGATCCTTACATGTGGGTTCAGTTGATTTTACTGTTGAAGTGACAGTGATCTCAGTCTTCGACAACAAAAGTTACAAGCAAGGACAAACACGGTAAGAAGTAAACGCCACACCAGCAATGTTTTAAGCTTAAATGTTAAACTGAACAGAACTTTCAAACTTAAATGTTAAGGTATACTGGTGTAGAACTTTCAAACCTAACTTTCTTCTGCAACGGCCCCTAGTTCGAATTTTCTCGTCAGGGAATGAAACCCTAGCCTAGTTTAGCATGTTAAGTAGTTAGTTATTTAGTACAAGTTCATTATTTGTGCTTTTCTAATGACAAAATGTGAATTTTGACAGAAAAACTTTCTTGTTGATGTACATATTGCAAAAGTATTGAAAGAATGTCTTTGCAACATGCAAAAGTAAGTAAATTTGATTTAAAGACTAGGTTTTGTATGTATTCGGAATATAACAAAATGAGCTCTGTGTAACTCTTAAGCTGACTATGCAAGAGGGAATATGATTTGATAAATTTTTTATCACACATTATGCAACCTTTTTGTCAAAATCCTGGTGAGTTCCAAATAAGTTGCATGTGTATATTTATTCTTTTTCGCGAATTTTTCCCTCGCACTTTTGAAATTCAGACATGTGCGCGTGAATTTCTTTCATGCGCGTGATTTAATTCTCTCACGGTTGCTCCTCACAAAGGTGTCATTGTCCACAAGGTATGACTTTTTACACTTGTCTTTTAAGACTGATATTGCTTGTCTGAAAGTATAGAAGTCATGTAGGATCCTAACTTCACGAGTTTTACTAGCCTGTATTGTTGCTTTGGGGCCCACATTAATGTAAATAAAAGGTTGAAAACAATTATAAAGAAAAGAGAAACAAACTCTTTATGCATACTGCTTTACTTCAAATCAAATTCCATTTTTAATTAATTTCCACAATTTCGATTAGAAAAAGTTTTGGATCCTCTTTTATCATAATCCAAAAAGCTATGCCCTATTGTTTTTCTGTGGTGTTAGATACCTCTTGTTTGAAATTTCCACTTGGTTTTTGTAATCTAAGATATTTGTAATGATGACACGATTCAGTATGTCTTGAAGTTCCAATAAGATTTTTACTTGCTATGTGGGCAATAACATCCTGAAGAGTTTGAAGCCTTCAGCAGGGGTTGAAATTGGTAGCCAAAGTCTGGGGCTAATTGTTTTAAGACTTCAAGGGCTACCTAATTTAAATGTAACTATAGTCTGCCAGACTAGCAGACCAGAAAATATTCTTGTGACTTTATTTCTGTTTTCTATGTATGTAAACTGGTTTCTTTTGACTGAAAACTAGTTAAATTTGTTTCTGTTACCGAAGCATTTGAAACTTTTACTTTTGTTGTGTTTTAATTTATTTTGCATTAAAAAATTGTTGGGCTAATAAGTTTGAGGTTTGGGCTACACAGCAAAATGTGCCACGTACGTATCACATACGTTAAACGTATGTGATACATACGTGACTTTACGTACGTATCACATGAAAAAAGCACCACGTACGTTAAACATACGTTTTCACACGTATGAATATCATGCGTGACACGTACGTTACACATACGTATTGACTACCATACGTTACACACGTTGCACACATACGTTATTCATACGGTTCTTGTATGAATAACGTACGTGCAACGTGTGTGTAGCGTACGTTTTGAGAAACATGCGTTTAACATGATTTGTATACACTGCTCATATGATAAATGTTTAAGTACCATACATCTGTCAAACCATGGTTAAACATATGTTTTGAACATTCTTTTTCACACATTGTAAACATATGTGAAACAAAAATAATGTGCAATTAAAATATTCATTTCATGCATTTGACATAATTTTCTTCAAGGGCTTATTTTCTTTTCATCTGTTGAATGATCCACATTTTGAAGGTACATATCTGGATATCCTTTACCTCAAATTTCCTGATCCTAATTGCTCTTTAGGCAATCACAACAAAAGACATATTCATATTTAAGCCAAATTTAATGTTGAGATTTTAACATCAATTCATTCTTCTGCAATTCCCTTTCATCTGTAAAGAAAAAGAAAATATTAAATGAATTTGCACAGTTTTTTTCTGAACATTATTATTTTCCACATATAACTCCACATATAACTCTTGGTCGATTCCCTTTAGAACTAAACAAGAACTGTCCAATTTGGATAAATACCCCCCACTGAGTTTTTCAGAGAAGATGCCAAGTCACTAATACTAGTATTTGAGGATCTAAAAGGTATTCACAATTTGTTTAAACATTAAGAGTTTTCAAGTATTTCTCTGTTGGAAAGTATGGATGCATTATTTATCCATTTTTTCTACAGTACCTGACTATAGGTCAGGATCATGACACATGTACCCTCAGGTCATAAACAATCTTTGTGTGAAGTGGATACTCCCAACATCCAAAATTATTCTCCATAGGAAAGATACAGACTGAACACGAATTATGAACTTTTTCTGTAAGTGACCTTGAACTTGTCCAAATGACCTTGGGTCAAGGTCATGACACACCATCAGGTCATAAACAATCTTTGTGTAAGATGGGAACTCTCCAAGTTTATCCATAAGAAAGATATGGACCAGACACGTATTATGATTTTTTTCTGTCAGTGACCTTGAACTTGCCCAAATGACCTTGGGTCAAGGTGATGACACACCCTCAGGCCATAAGCAATATTTGTGCAAAATGGGAGCTTGCCAAGTTTATCCATAAGAAATATATGGACTGGACACAAATTATGAACTTTTTCTTCCTGTGACCTTGAACTTGCCCAAATGACCTTGGCCATGGGTCAGGGTCATGACACACCCTCAGGTCATGAATAATCTTTGTGTGAAATAGTAGATTCTAATGTTCCTCCGTAAGAAATATATGGACCAGACATGTTTGCACAGACAGACAAACAGACAGATGAACAAGGTGATTCCTACATATTCCCCTAAACTTTATTTGCAGGGGGATAAATATAGTGTCGAATAACTACTACCTTATAATTCTCTACATGACAAATTTAAAATAGAAGCATTGTGAGTGAACTCAGAAAACAAAACTTGTTCATCATAGTCATGAACTTAGTTTGTTTGCTTTAAACTCCTGGCCAGGAGTATTATTTGGATTTTCAATGAATCATTGCATTTTCACTATATGATCAATAAAGCACTGAATTACTTACCCTGAGGCCATAAATTCCATAATTTTAGTAGAAGACTCAATGCTCATTACAATCATGCTAACAGTTTGCTTGATGTCCAGATTTAAAGATTAATGCATTAATTTTGATGGTTTTATATAGCTCCATCCCCTAGGCCCCAGGGGGAGCAGGGACCATGAAATTTGCTATTTTTGTTCCCATTCACCCACATATGCAGCATTTATTTATGCCAAAAGTGGTCAATATGAGTTCAACAGTTTTAGAGAAACTGAAAATGTTCAAATTTTACAAGACAATGCACAGTGAATGATGATGGACAAAAACAGATAGCAATAAGTCATGACTGACTCAGGTTACTTTTAAATTAGTTTTAAAAAACATTTTTTTGTGATTATGTCAGCTCAGGTGAGCTAATATAAAATATTGCTTATCACTGATATAAATGACAACAGTTAAATTTTAGACATAACCATGTGTCTGACAATTCTATATAATAATACAAGAGGCCCACGGGCCTTATAGGTCACCAGAGTATCGTGTAACAACTTTCCAACAATTGAATTTGGTTTGTATTTTGCACCAGAGGCCATGTAATTCACAATTTTGAAAGAGGCACTATTGCTCATCATAACTATACAGTTAGCATGCTTACTTTGATTACTTAATATCCAGAGGCAGAGCAGAGGAAGAAGGAAGATCAGGATCAACAAAATAATTAGTCTAGTATTCACTATCAACTCAGAAATTGAGTTCTAATCTGTCCCCCACTTAACACTATCACCATGCAGCCTATTAACAAACTATTAGTACTTCTGTACTATTTTTAAACCCATATTAAGATCTCTAGCATTGACCTCTCTTATGGTCTTTGAAGAACTTTTAATAAGATAAGTTATTTTTGTCTCATTTTTATCTATCTATTACTTACAGGTCTATCTGATTATTAAAACTAAGAAAGTACTTTTTTAATTATACGATAAACATTCTTGCATAATTATCTTATTCTATTAACCTTTCAAATACATTATTTACAGTGATTAATTATCAAAGGTAAATGGTAAAGGGGAATAACTTCTCTCAGTAGTATACAAATTAATAGAGCCCTGCCCAGGACCAGAATGCTTAGACGAATGGTCCAGATGTTTAAAAATCTGGTAGAAATACGCTTACTCATATCATTTAAACTTTTACTCAGTTTGCTTCCGATATGCCCAGAAGCAGAGAAGAATTTCACAGGTACAATGCATTTTCACTACAGATTCAACAAAGCCTTACCCTAACACCAGAACCCAAGACCAAGGGTCAAGAAAATTACAAATTTGGAAGAGTTACCCTCATCATCAATACTATGGACTTCAAAGAATTAACACTTTTCCACTATATTATCAAAAGCCCCCCCCCCCCTCGTTATGCCAGAACCCCTGACCCTAGAACCACAAGATTTAAAAATTCTGTTCGAAGCTCCCATTTTCATCATAGCTAAGCAATTTATTTATCAGCTCGACACTAAGGAGCCGACAGGATTAATTAATGATTAATTAATAGAATTAATGCTTTTTCACTATATAATCAATAGAGCCCCCCCCCCTCTCCTCAAGAACCCCAAAAAATGAGGCGATATATTTAAAAATTTTGGAAGAGGAATCCGTGTCTATCATAATCATGCACTTAGTTTGTTTAAATAATCTCCAGAAGCAGAGAAGAAGATTTTCAAAGAATCAATGCATTTTCACTATATAATCAATAGAGCACCGCCCTAACACCAGAACCCCTGACCCTGGGGCCATGAAATTCACAATTTTGGAAAAGGCATCCTTATGCATCATAACCATGCACTTAGTTTGTTTAAATAATACCCAGGAGCAGAGAAGAAGATTTTCAAAGAATGAAAGCATTTTCACTATATAATCAATAGAGCCCCGCCCTAACACCAGAACCCCTGACCCTGGGGCCATGAAATTCACAATTTTGGAAAAGGCATCCTTATGCATCATAACCATGCACTTAGTTTGTTTAAATAATACCCAGGAGCAGAGGAGAAGATTTTCAAAGAATTAATGCATTTTCACTATATAGTCAATAGAGCCCCGCCCTAACACCAGAACCCTGCCCCTGGGGCCATGAAATTCACAATTTTGGAAGAGGCACTCTTGCTCATCCTAACTATGTACTTAGTTACTGAATTTAATACCCAGGAGCAGAGAAGAAGATTTTTCAAAGAATCAATGCATTTTCACTATATAATCAATAGAGCCCCGCCCTAACACCAGAACCCCTGATCCAGGGGCCATGAAATTCACAATTTTGGAAGAGGCACTCTTGTTCATCCTAACTATGTTCTTAGTTACTGAATTTGATACCCAGGAGCAGAGAAGAAGATTTTCAATGAATAAATGCATTTTCACTATATAATCAATAGAGCCCCGCCCTTACACCAGAATCCCTGCCCCTGGGGCCATGAATTTCACAATTTTAGAAGAGGCACTCTTACTCATCATAACTATATACTTACTTAGTTTATTTAATACCCAGGAGCAGAGAAGAAGATTTTCAAAGAATTAATGCATTTTCACTATATAATCAATAGAGCCCCGCCCTAACACCAGAATCCCAGACCCTGGGGCCATGAATTTCACAATTTTAGAAGAGGGACTCTTACTCATCATAACTATATACTTAGTTAGTTTATTTAATACCCAGGAGCAGAGAAGAAGATTTTCAAAGAAATAATGCACTTTCACTATATGATCTATATAGCCCCGCCCTAGCACCAGAACCCCTGACCCTGGGGCCATGAATTTCACAATTTTGGTAGAGGACTTAATGCTCATTACAATCATGCCAACAGTTTGACTGCTTGATGTCCAGGAGTAAAGAAGAAGATTTTTAAAGATTGCATTAATTTTGGTGGTTTTAGCCCCACCCCTCAGGCCCCAGGGGGGCAGGGACCATGAAATTCACAATTTTTGTTCCCCTTCACCCATAGATACTATATGCCAAATTTGGTTGAAATTGGTTGAGCGGTTCCAGAGAAGAAGCTATAAATGTTCAAAAGTTTGCGACCGACGAACGACGTACGACGACGGACGAAAACGGATAGCAATAGGTCACCTGAGTTTACTCAGGTGACCTAAAAACTTACCCTCAGCATAAATCTTTCAAAGTTTGGCATGGACCTATTTGTTTTTGTGTCTGTTCGAAGTATATACATGTACTTCTTGTCCTTGAGGTAAAAAAAAAATATGTTAAAAAAAACTGCATTTCAGACTTGTAAAGCAAAACAAACAAGATGAAAAATTACTTATTTTACTGATAACATTTAACATTTTCTTCTCTTGATTGAAATGTATAATGCACATCATTACCATGATTATATGATATGTAATTGCAAGTCTAAAAGCAATGGGATCAGAAAATGATTTCTTTCTTAAGAGTATTACCATAATGCTAGTAAAACTATCAGAATCTGTTTTGAAGTCCAGTCATGGCATTTAGGTGTTTACATAGGAGATGCATTTGAGCTTCAGCTACCATCCTGGAGTGTACATTTAAAATCACATAAAAAATCACAATCTCAAAATATATTATTAGTATTCATAAGGATGAAAAAGGCAAAGACATCTGAAAAATAAGTGTTACACCCTATTATTGCCCTAAAAGATATTAATTTCCTCTACATGCTCTATGAAGAAATACATGGGGTGGATGAAACTTTTCAATCAAGGGTTTTATTTGCATCTTATTGGTAGGCTAAAAAATATATTTACAGTGTTGATTCACTCCTGGGCTGTGGTGCTTTGTCAACATTTTCTTAATTATTTGGTAAACTAAGTCTACATTGTTATACACTGAAATAAAAGAAACAAACCCATTAGTTTACATGCAACACAATCTGAAATATAAAGTAATTAAATAACTGTTGATGTTATGTATTCCTCACCGTTATAGGGCAGTGGTTCTGGAGAAGAAGTCGAAAATGTGAAAAGTTTACAGACAGACGGACAGCTAGACAGACAGACTACAGACAAAATGTGATCAGAAAAGCTCGCTTAAGCTTTCAGCTCAGGTGAGCTAAAAACAGATAGCAACAGGTCATGACTGACTCAGGTTACCTAATTAGTTAAAACATTTTTTTTTTTTTGTGATTACATATAAGTCAGCTCAGGTGCAAATATTGCTTATCACAGATGTAAATACAACAGTAAAATTTTAGACATAACCATATGTCTGACAATTAAATTCTATATAATACATGTAGATTTAATAATAGAACTTACCCTCAGCATAAATCTTTCATAGCTTGGCATGGACCTATATGTTTTTGTGTCTGTTCGAAGTGTATACTTTTTGTCCTTGAGGTAAAAAAAATTGCATTTCAGACTTGTAAAGCAAAACAAACAAGATGAAAAATTACTTATTTTACTGATAACATTTAACATTTTCTCCTCTTGTGATTGAAATGTAATGCACATCATTACATGTTATCTGTAATTGCAATAAGAGTATTACCATAATGCTGGTTAAACTTTCAGAATCTGTTTTTGAAGTCCAGACTTGGCATTTAGGTGTTTACATAGGAGATGTCAGAGCTTCAGCCACCATCCTGGGGTGTACATTTAAAATCACATAAAAAAATCACAATCTCATTAAAATACATTATTTTTATTCATAAGGACTGTATGAAAAAGACATCTGAAAAATAAGTGTTACACCCTAATTGCCCTAAAAGATAATTTATATTTCCTCTACATGTTTTGTAAAGAAATACATATGGGTGGGTGGAACTTTTTCCATCAAAGGTTTTATTTGCATCTTATTGATAGGCTAAAAATAATCAGTTACAATAAATATTTTTTATAGGCCTAACAGAATGTTTTAAACTTCACCTGAATTTTGATATAGTGTGCCAGTGTTGATTCACACCTGGGCTGGGGTGCTGACCAAGACAGCTGACTGCGTCAATATTTTCTTACCTAGTTTACATTACGTTATACACTAAAATAAAAGAAACACGTTCGTTAGTTTACATGCAACACAGTCTGAAATATAAAGTAATTAAATAACTGTTGATGTTGTATATTCCTCACCGTTATCCTAGCCTAACTCCAGACTGTAGTGCAGACGTCAGACTTCTTACCAGTGACGTCACCGGTAACGTAAATAATAATTGGAGGTGAAAATTCCGGAACGTATAATTTAAATATTTTATTGTTATACGGACGCTACCTACTGCATAATTATCTAATATATATTTATGTGAATTCCATTTGAGTTTGTTGTGAAATTATCGTGATTTTCTTTCTTTTTTTTTTTTTTAATTCAGCTTTTGCTCCTGAATTCGGAATGATTATATCTACCGATGATCGAGTTCAATTTTATGTGCCTCTACCGATATCCGATATACATATTACGAGATTAGTGTACTTGTAGTTGTATGTAGACTATGTTTTTACTGCTCTAAGAGTAAACTATACACCAATGCGAACTGATTACTCCATGACAGACATGCAAGTGGACGTAAGGTAAACAATGTGAAATAAATTGGAACATTAAAGACGCAAAACACGCACAACAAGTCAACAACGCACACACCTGTGAGCTTTCAGAGGTGATTGGGTTTAACACTGTTTAATCATAGATCATGATATGATATTATTTTTTGAAAAAAAAAGTTGAATCTTTAAAACATATTACAGTATAATCATTAAAATCCAGACAACTTATGATCTAGAGTCCCGTTTTAAGAGGGATTTTATACTTAGACCAAGTTGGTTGCAATACTCTGTTTCATGAATTACACATTTACAGGTTATTGATTGTTAACGAGGTTCGCTCCTGAGCTTTTGAGCAGATTTTTATCTTAACCTATATTTCAAAAATTCTGCATAATGTTTTAATTCTTACAATAAATTTGGATTCTACAATGCCAATTTAACTATATTCAGTTAAAACTCCATGATTAAATTCAATACCAAAAGCATTGAATGAGGAACTATATTTTGTGGCGGAAGGTTTTCTTTAGAAGAAAATGATCATTTTTTCTCTTTCGAAGTATTAAAAGTATGTTAAGTTTGGATTCCTATTTTTACATACAGTCTGCACATATAGTTATTTTGTGCAGTGGGTTGTTTTATACTGGTCCTAAATTATCTATTAAATAAACTGTCATGAATTCTATCATCATATTTGATAAATATAGCAAATACATTGTGAAAATGAAGGAAAAAAAAATAGCCCTAATTTAAGCTTAAAATTAGCACTATTTTGGGAATATCTAAAAATTAACATCACAGACCCCAACTTTTAATATTCTTTTATGAATATATACTATATTTTAACCATTCTTCTTAAATTCAGTAAAATGTCATTACTTTTAAATGATTTTTTTGCTTGTTAAATTTTTAATGCCAGAAAAAAATGAAAATGTTTGAGTGCAAAAAGGTCAAATAATTGAACATGCGGAGTAATTTGAAAATTTCTTCGTTGTCACAAATTTTAGTGTGTCTATTTAAGATGAAATAAGACTGTTTTTGTTCCCATAATTTATTTGAACAAAAATATTGGAGGAAAAACTTTAAAAATAGATGTATGTGTAAGACGTATTTACAGTGCAAAAAGGTCAAACTAAATGCTCTGTAGTGCCAAAAGAAGCGCATTGACCCCCATTTTTTGTTTTGATTTTTAATAAAGCTATGTGTATAAATTCTAAAAATATACTTGGTAAAAAATTCTCATTACTTTTGATGGCAGGATCCAACCTCCTTAAACATTATCTTGATTAGTTCTCCAAATTCACTTTGAACTATTAAGTTAAAAAAAGTATTTGGTCTGAGTACTTTTGAACAAAAAGTTCCTGTGTATTTGAAAATGTCACCAATTTAAGAATATTATAATCCCAGCAACAATAAAACTTTTAGGGATTTTTTTCACTTACTGACTAAAATTCAATACTAATTTTCCTAATTAATTAAACGAAATTGAAATTAAAAAAAATAAAAAGGGATTGAATTTAATTATAGTTGACCTACATTTATTGTACATGTATCTAAAAGTACCATTAATATAGAAAATATACAGCCTTCTCAAACACAGCTAGTTTTTCACACACATGTAAAACAATTTTTATTAACATACATGTAACGTAGCTGATAATATACTTGTCATTAATGTTCATGTAATATGTGGTTTATAATACATGTAAACCGTGCATATATTAACGTATGTGTAACGTGTGGTTGATAATAAATGTAAACCATGTGTGTGAAATATGTGTAATGTATGGTTTATAATACACATATAAACCATGCGTTTATTAACGCATGTGTAACATATGGTTGACAATACATATGTAAACCACGCGTTCATTAACGTACGTTTAACGTGTGGTTGACAATACACATGTAAACCATGCATTTATAAACGTACGTGTAACGTATGGTAGCACATACCATATGTTACACGTACGTGAAACGTACGTAACACATACGTGTATTCCAACCGCACGTTTCACGTACGTTATGTGAAACGTATGTTGTCACATGCATGTTATCCATACGTTGTACCACGTACGTGAAACGTGCGGTTGGAATACACATATGTGTTACGTATGTTTCACATATGTGTAACATATGGTATGTGCTATCATACGTTACACGTACGTGGCACAATTAGCTGTGTAGTTAGTTTGAGCTTTGGGCTAGATATTTTTAATGATCAGTAACCGCTGTGCTAGTGAATTTTCCAGGAAAATATCAACCCTTACCTTCAGACAAAACACTTAAATTTTGAGAGTGGGCTAATAATTATTTGCAACCCTGAATGACCCTGAGAGTAAAGCATATGGTATAAGAAGTTTCTTATCATTAACATTGTAAATGTATATTTAGTTATATACTGTTGAAGTGAACTGGGTGTTATATGTATTGCATTCCTTATTTGTAGTTTTACAAAGATTATAAGCTGAAGTGAAGATGATTGGGCAAGGTAAGTGATATTTAAAATCAAAGTACTCAGAAGTATAGAGAGCAGAGCTCATTTACAGAATAGTGAACATTGAATTTATCACATGGATCGTTCTGGGGTCTTACACCATGTACATTGATGCAGCAAGGACAAACGTTTATGCTCAGATGAGTCCTCAGTGGGAAGTTCTGCATCAAAGTGTACCACAGGTCGCGTGCTCCCTGCATTAGTGTTATCCTGGTTATGCTACCTTTATTTTTAGTATGTGCTACAGACACTGAGGGGGACCGGATGAAAACCTTTTGCATACATGCATCTTTTAAAACCATATTAATAAATCGTAGTACATCATGGCACATGTGAGAAACCAAAGTACATTACCATTAATTTTGTTTGTTAAGAAAATTTATCAGTTTACTTTACTTTGTTTAATTTTAGTGTTGTATTGTCTCAAAAACGTCTGAGCATATACATACTTTTTTTAAACTTGTAAATTTGATTTGGCAGTGAGGAAGCAGCATATCCAGTTGAACACCCTGACAAAAAGGCAATTATTGCTCTAAGAGTAGAGCAATGAGCCTGGCTCAAAATTACTGTTCTGCTGTTGCTTTATCAGAATAAGCTGTTGATTCCTTTTCAGCATTGTCTTTAGTCTGATCAGCAGTGTATATCTTATGAATAATGGACATTTGCAATGTTTTGTTTTGATATACAGTTAAACTTCATTATTCTAGGGAAAATCGGGAAAATCCTCTAGATCATGTTCTTGTATAAGCTGAACTGTCGATTATGTAATAAAATGATCAGTACTTTATGCTAAAAGGTTTCTTTTTCTCTTTTAGATATACTTGAAAAGATAAAAGAATTGTTTTATAAGGGTTTTAACTACCGTTTAATCCATTATTTGATCCAGAGAAACCATAACTGTGACATAAGATATTATAATACAAAATTTAAAAAAATATTTTTGGAAGTCTGGTTATGTATCATGACTTTTAATCAAATACATAAATTGTCATTCAATGATGATGCTTCTATGTGATTAAAATATTTTGCAGTTATAATTGCCTAACAAGGAAAGTTCTACCTAGACTTGGTTTGAAAAGGAGGCTTGCAGACATTGCTTTTGATGAAATATTTGATATTGCACAGGTAATAATTTTATTTCTTAGAAAATTCATAAATATAAAGGTGCACGTGCATGTTAAATATTTCTGTTCTTTTAACTGTTATTAAGTACCCGGTAATTCTTCAATGAAAGTTTAGAACACAATGATTAACTTATTTGTTGGATGTATATGTATGAAAGATGTGTGGAATTTGACATATTTTAGTGGAATTCATATCCCTGATGTCTTTTCAGCTCTAAATCATCACTGTTGCCAAAATTTAAAATTACATACATTACACATGTACATGTATTTAAGGAGAAAAAGTATACTATTAAATTCGGAAAATTATGCTAAAACTTGCATATATTAATTAAAATACACATAAAATTGTATAGAGCAAACCTTATACATGAAATTTACAATATTCTGTAGAGAGAAATACTGAATGGATGTTCAGGTGCTGAAAGTCTAAGAAGAATTATAAAAATGAAACACCAGCTGAATATTACCAGGTAAGTATATAATCAAAGTCAGTCCATTCCTCCATCCATGATTAAATACATCCAAACATGCAAATATTTTGATGTTATACTTTCATGTAAATTAGTTGAATCTGATTCATTGAGAAACATTTGATAAAAACACTATATTCCAATGACTGATTAAACCATGCCCATCCAATGCAACAGAATGTAGCAACAGTTAGCATTAAAAATGATGAGTCATGTTCCCAAAAATTGCTGACTGCATGGAATCTATAAGCATGTATAATTATATTTCATGAACCATTCAGTAAAATACCCGGGTATAACAAATATTTTGGTCTTTCAGTTGAGAGTTGTATTGAAAAATTTCACCCTTCAAAAAGCATTGTTAAGACTGGCTGAGCCTTGGTTGGTGGTGGTTCTCTTGGGCTCAAAAGTTATAATGTTTGCCCTCAAAAATAGACAATAATTGTAAAATTTTAATACATTAAATGAAATAAATGTTTAATGATACAGGTCCATAGCAAGAGATATAGTTCGTCTTTTGGATGAAGATGGGATAAAGAGAAGGAAGCAGAGAAGACTGAGAAGAAGGCAATACTTTAGTAAGGTATAGACCGAAGACTGAAAGAAAAATTATGAAACATTGATCATCTCAGTATTTATTAATGTATTAATTTCATAAATGTTACAAAATTCAGCACTTCAAAGCTTGAAAAATAATTCTGCAAGAAAAAAAGTGAAATATACCTTGTACATGTACTGTACAGCAGGTTAAAATCGCAATTTTTTAAATTTGTAGTAAATCGGGGTTGTTTGAATTTGCAGAAAGGAAATGTTATTAATTCAGCACTGCAAGTATTTTCCTTGCGTATTATGTCATGTCGTTTCTGAACCCGATTAAATATAACGAAATATCAGATTAATACCAATTTGAAGTCAAAGCGTTGTCACGCATCCTGATGATTTTAATTTTTTCCCTTGTTTTTTTTCCTTTCCCTTCTATTGGTAGTTACGTTGAACTGTTAGTATAACTAAATAAATGTGTAACCTTTGTTTTTACTAGGTAAGTGCCTCGATTAAAGGTAATAAGAATAAGTAATAAGCACATGTAAAGGTTAACTCTGTGTGATTCGTGGATAATGACCTTGCACCTCTTTTGGGTGGCACTATTAAATATAAGTTATAGAATTATATTTATTAATTATTATTAATTAAATTAAGCTTCAAAATCACGAACAACTACATGTAAGTGATTAAATTGATCCATAAACCTTCATTATTAGCTAGACGGTCTACATCAGTTTCTCCGCTATATTAATTACTGCTTTTATGTTTGCAATGAAACACAGAGAGAATTAAAGAATCTAACCACAGATAATAGTAATATTTCAATTTATCATTTTTTTTTAAAGAATTATTCACTATATGATATTGAGGGGTTCTTATTTCTGCGAATATTATTTCCGCGAGCTAATTTCCTGCTGTACAGAATATGAAAGTCAGGGACAATTATTTATACCATATTTGTACAATGTGTATTTATAGGGTCCAAATTTTGTTTGGCATTTGGGTAAGTGTAATATTGCCTTCTTTTGGCTCATGAATGAAGAGTCAAAATCAATCCTGTTATTTATTTATTTATGTAACTTTTACAATTTGATAAGATGAAAAGTAGGTTGTGTAATTTATTTTTAGCTCACCCCGATGATGTCGAGATGAGCTTATGCTTTACTGTTGGTGTGGGTGTTAGCGTCACATCCCTGTAAAAGTGTTAGGAGCAAGTCCATTTGGAAACTATAAGCCCTACCTGGACCAAACTTGCAGGAATGATGCATCTAGGGATGGACACTACCAGACTTGCATCAGATGCTGGATCTTATTTACATTTTTCAGATGATTGACAAGGTTAATGTTTTTGAAGCAGCTTCATTCCTATACATGTCCATGTTACTATAAGCCCTACTTGGATCAAACTTGCATGGATGATGCTGGGATGTACACTACCCTTTCTGCTTCAAATGCTGGATTTGCCCTATATTTTCCAGATGAGTGAATTTTAGCCATACTTTAACTAAATTAGAATGGATGATGCTTCTAAGGATGGACACTCCAAGGCTTGGTAGAGATTGGGGCATCAGTGTTTCACAAACATATCATTTATTTTATAGTAGATATCTGTCCTAAATGTCAGTCATGTCAAGAAAAGATATTTGAAATAGGTTTGAAATGCTTTAAAATTAAACAAATATATCAAATGTCTTAACTTCTTATGAGACACCTGCAAGCAGAAATTAAACTGTTATTCCAAACATGAAACTGCATTTATAGATGGATATGACAAACTAAAGCCATATGGTATAAGCATTCATGGTTGCATTGATGGGTATGATTTGTTGTTTTGTTTGATTAATTTAAACATTCCACACTAATGATCAATGTATTCAAATACAATATGTTAAGTTATTTTTTTTTTTAAAGTAATTTCATGTGATTTTCGTAGTTTCATGTCTAAAACTTTTAATATTCTTTTGGACTGTATAATTGTGGACATATTGTTTTTGAAGCATTTCCTTTTCAATTAAAAAGATTTTTTGACGTGGTTTTATTTAATGTTAGTTCTACATGGATTTCTCATAAAAGTATAATAATTTCTGAAATCAAATATTTTACTTAGATAAAAAAAGAAACCATCAAAATTTTAAATATTTTTTAAAAGCTCAAATGTGGTTTTCTAATTAAATTCTGTCCATCTGTCTGCTTGTCTGTCAGTATGCATTTAGCATTTCATATTTCTCAGAACCCTGGACCAATTTTAACTTGCCACAAAGCATCCTTGGGTGAGGGTTTTTTTTTCTTCCAGATGAACCATGCTCTTATACAGGGATTAGTTGAAAATATAGTGAATTAAAAAAAAAAACTTCCTCTCAAGAACCACTGGACCAGATGTAAAAGTTTCCTGACATAGTGTATATTCATTTATTTTTTCAATTATTATACCCCCACTCCAAATTAGAGGGGGGTATACTGTTTTACCCTTGTGTGTCTGTCCGTCTGTCCGTAACAAATTTTGGTCGCAGTTTTCTCAGCAACTACTCATTGCGGATGCTTGAAAATTTAGCACACTCTTTGTTTAGGTATGCCATGTGGTGGGATTCATTTTTATACGAATCTGATGTCAACTTCTTGTTTATCCGTGTGTCTGTCCGTACCATACATAAGAAATTTTGGTCGCAGTTTTCTCAGCAACTACTCATCGCAGATGCTTGAAATTTTAACTCGCTCATTGTTTAGGCATGCTTTATGTTGCGAATCATTTTTGTACAAATCGATGTCAATTTCCTGATTATTACTGTGTCTGTCCATAACTGAACTTGTGTATTCACAACAGAGCGGGGGTATTATTAGTGAGCACTGGCTCACAGACTTCTTGTTATCTCTAGTTGTCTCTAGGGTTATGGTGGGACAGGATCATTCAAAGTTTTACATAGGAAAATATATTACCGTAGGTAAATATATATATAAAAAAAAAATCTTTTGAAGGAAAGCAGCAGAGCCAATCGGTGGCGGATCCAGGTATCTTGGAAAAGGAGGTGGGGTGCTGACCAGTTTGGGATTGGGGTAGAGGCCCACAGCCACACCCCAAAAAAATATGATTTCTTAAATCTTATGGATATTTTGACACAAAAGGGGGGCCCAGGCCCCCTCTAAATCTGCCACTGCCGATGATTAGTCTTGTTCAAATAGAAGCATTTCATATCTGATATTTTTATGCCCCACCATGAATATGGCCAAAACATATATCATTTGCCATGTCTGTCTTCCGTACTTTGCTCTTTCCAACTTCTGTCTTTCCATCCTTCCATCATGTTCTTCCATCACACTTTTTAATAAGTTAAGGGTTTTAAAAATCTGGTATATTTACTTTCATGAGAAAGACTTGAATTTATTTGTTTAATCTGCTGTATTGCAGATGTTGTTTTAAATTATTGATGGGATCAACAACATTCACATAAATGGAAAACTTTCGACTACAAAATCTAATTTCTTATTTTGCATATATATAAGAGAAAAATATAGTGTCTTTCTGAGATTGTACCACTTCTGTATTTTCAATTTATTTTGAAAGATTTTCCAGACAGTTGATATGGCTGGAAGCAGATGTGACTAATAAAAGACCGGAGGTTGTAGCAGAATACTTCCTGAATGCAGTTCATACTATGAAAGGTATAGTGACAGAATCACCAGGTACTATGTTTAATGACAAGTTACAATTGCAAGTGTGCTTCAAGAAATGTCAATTGATTTCTGAAATTAAGCCACCAAAATTTCAAAATACTTGTTATGAATTAGAAGGGAAGGCATATATTGATAACATCATAGTCTGTCTTTTAAGGTTGTCCTCAAAAGATAAGAGCTGATCCTGGCACAGAAAATGGGATCATCGCAACATTCCAAACATTTCTTAAGACAGATCCAAGTGCAGTGTCTTTTGGAACTTCGACTGCAAATCAGGTTAGCATTGTACATGTTTTAAACAGCTCCACACCCCCAAAACACACACAGATAACATTTTCTGGAAAGAAAATCATATGTCCAAGTTTTAATAACGTTTTTTACAAACATTAATTGTAGAGAATTGAAAGATTTTGGGGCATTTTAAGGCAAATGAAAGCAGATTTCTGGATGGATCATTTCAAAGTAAGTTGTTGCCACATCTGAAATATTACAAAAATGTTTCTCTTAATTTATTTAGGAAAACAAGTATTTTACTGACAAAAGTTACATTTTACAGTGTGTTAAAGCTGAACACGACTCGTAAATAGGCATACGCCATTTTCGATATTACTATCTTAGATATCAGCACCAGGGTATACTCTTCGGATTCGTTACACGTGACTGCTTTATTGTCACGGGTATCGGTGTGGAATGGCGACCCATGTTTGTGCTGGTTATCACGCATTCCCTTTGTTTACATTTTATTGCAGTTGAGTATATTTGTGTTTGTTTGTATACTGCGCTGACCTGTGTAACTGTTGTAAATCTCTTTGGTATCTTACTCTCCTGCATTATTTAGAAGAAGCACACAGTTATTTTGTCGCTACCAAGTGTTGTATAGCATACGTCCGTCTACACCGATGATGATTGATTACATTGAACAGTGACCAAGTGAGCGACTCTATATATAGGGGCCCTCAGATACAGCCCGAGTCCAATCAAATATGTCGGACGCATTCTTTTTACGAAGCGTGTTCAGCTTTAACTATGCATGTACTTCGTTTATGGTAATATGTGCATAGTAAATATAAAAAAATACGAAAATATATCTTGGGAATTTATTATTAGGGATTGGTGTATGAAGAACTGCTGGAAATAGGAAATCCTCTACATAAGTATGTATAGATGAAAAAGGAGTTCAGATGAACCTCTTTGAAAAGAAATATTAGATGTACATGTCTATTTATTTTGTCTTGGATAAGAATGATACCCTGTCATTGATAATAAAGTGTCATCTATATCTCTGTAAATGGCAAGATAGTTACATGTACTGGCTTATAGCAGGAAGAAATACTTTGTTCAAAATCTAGAAATACTATAGATATATGCCCCCTTATCTTTTTTTTTAAACTTTAGAATATCAATTTCATTCATTGATATTTTCTCTTTATGTTAGCAATATTTTTTTGATACCTGATGTATTATGTTATACTTATTGTACTTCAAGGATGCTCTGTTTTCATTTCCATCAAGGATAAAAGAAGTGAATGTGTATAATTAACTGAATTTCTCAGCAATATTTTTTAGAGGGGAGAGTTGAAATAAGCTTTTCACACCTTATCTATAGGCCCACTATAAAACACACTGAAATGTATTGATTAAAGCTTTTAGTATAATGAGGAAATTTAGAATGAACCACTCTTACTTCATATATATATTTGAACAATATAGTATTTATTTGACTCTTTATGCCCCCAAAATAAAAAATTTCATATTTCACAGGTGTATTCCTTGTTACAAAATCTTTGGGTACCACCAAATTTGACCTCGTGACCTTGACCTTGTAGTGTGACCTTGTAGTGTGACCCACTTTTACAAAAAATTGCCAAACTTTAACCTTGGCCATAACTTTTGAACAGTTGGTGCTAGGGCTTTCACACTTAATATGTGTTTTGTTATTTAAGTTTATAGTCTTCATCATGATTCTTTAATAGCCTTGTGTATATACTTGTACATTATATATGTTTAATTAAATACATGAAGTAAATATGTAATGATATTTGTTTGTTTGAATCCTCATTGAAAGACTTGTATATTTGTGTTGCTTGAAAAAAGAGGGCATGCCATTTTAAGCAGTCAGTTGGTCTGATCAGTATCAGGCCCGTAGGAAGCAATTTCACTTTGAGGGGGCACAACCATACATTTTCAGTTGGGGGGCACTATCAACTACCAAAATTCCTTGACAAGCAAAAAAAAAAAAGGTCATCGGACGTTATTATTGAGGGGGCACAAGCATATAGTAGCTACATGTATATTTTCTATAGTACATTGTATTCTATATATTGGCAAAATTATTGGGGGGTGGGGGGGGGGAACTGGCCCGGTTCTTACAGCCATGAGTATCTTGAGAATCTCTTGATTGATCGTCATCAAACTTATAAACTGGTCCCCCTCTGGATAAGTTAAGAGGTTGGAAGGTCGAGGGTCAAACTATTAGTTATATGTTACCGTTATATGTACTGGCAAAACATCAAGTAACAATGAAGGAAAGATTAAAGATAACTAGCTTTTATAAATTTATTGTACAATTCCCTTACATTCATATGAATTTAACATCACTTCTATGTGTAATTCATGTACACGTTTTTTTTTTCAGACACATTTGTTAGATCAGGCAATGAATCCTACTTTGTATGTTCCTATAAACATCTACCGAGTAATCAGTGTATACATATTGTTACAGTAAGATGAGGTCAAGGTGACTTTCCATTAACCATTGTGACCTAAGCATAGTCATTTTGTCTTAATATATGAAGCTATTTCGTATTTCAGACTACACAAATGTCAGTTCTTGGGAGAAAGTTAATACAAGCCTTCAGAGACCAGAGACTTTGCGACGTAAAGTTAAAGCTTCAAGATAATTCCATCATTGAAGCCCATAAAATTGTATTAATTCTTGGATCAAAATGGTTTGAGGCCCGGCTTTGTGGAAAGTGGAATCATGCCAGTGATGAATCAAACATAACTCAGTTTGATGTTCATTCTATTCAACATACAAAGGAAATGTTAGAGTTCTTGTACACTTCTGAAATACACATTACTTTAGATAATGTAGAAGAGATTTACCAGATTGCTGACTATTATAGTGTTACTGAACTTATGGAAAAATGTTGCATATTCTTAGAACAAAACATATCAAAAAATACTGTTCTTAAAATTTTAACTATTTCTCATGAAAACAGCATAACGGATATCAAAAACAAAGGCCTTGAATTTTTAGACAAACACATTGAAGAAGTATTAAGTATAACTACTGAAGAATTCCAAGAAATTCCTCTGGAATTACTCTTGAATATTGTTAAAAGAGACAGTCTCTGCATACATGAGGAACTTCTATTTAATCACATCAATCTTTGGACTAAAAAAGTTAAAGAAGAAGACATTCCCCACACCTGGCATGACATAAGTCCCTTTCTAAGGTTCGGAATGATGTCAATGGACTTTTTTTTGGAAAATATTGTTAATAAAGGCATAATTGACAATGAATTATCTTTGAAGATCATGGTGTACTTTTCAACAGTTGAACAACAACCAGTACCAGAACAGCACTCCAAGATAAGATGTCTAATAACAGACCAGGACATAATTATCAATCGCTTTTTACGTCACAGTCTACATCCTACATGGGTTGTTGATAATTCCCTAAATGGGGACAGGATATCATTCACTATAAACTTAGATACTTTCTATTTAAGAGGAATATTTGTTTACGGTACAGAGACTGTATGTGAAGCAGGTCTTTTGGTTTCCATGTATCTTTATACTGGAAATGGCCAGCTTTTAGGAAAAAGCCAAACTTAGCAGAAAACTCAGAACTACAAAGAAATTCCAGTAATATTTCCAAAACCATTGCTTCTTGTTAAAGACACCGTTTATAGAGTAGTTGTGCGGATAAGTGGAGGGCCCACTTATAATGGTGTAGGTGGCTTGTCGACTATAAATGTTCAAATGGGGGAGACAAGCACTCTAAAAATTACTTTCCAAGATGCTTTTGGAGAAACAAATGTACAAACGGGGCAAATTAAGGGGCTCATTTTGAGAAAACGTTAAAATAATGAGTTTACAAGCTAAATCTTGAGGTCAAAGTTATGAGTGGCAATAGAAACATTATTAATTGTTCAATTCATACCTTTCTCTTTATATATTTCATTATTATTCACCATACAAAAATTATAATAAAAGGTCACTTTTATTTCAAATCCTTTTATTTAGTGCACATGTATTTCTGTATAATTATATAGCCTTACTTTGTAATAAGTACATGCGTTTAAAAAATCAACTACCCGGTAAAATGTTCTTCCCTCAACACACCTGTAATATTGCCTTGTATAACATCAATACATCACTAGACATATATCCACCAAAGGAATTTAGAGGTAATCTACTCCTGGACATTTCTCATACAATGACAAATTAAAGAAAGAGGACCAAGGGCCTTGAATCACTCTTCTGATAAATTGTACAACATACCTATCACTTGTATTTGAAGCCTCATAGTATTCTATTTATCTAGATAAAACCTTGAAATTCTAAAAGTAGGTCATTGTTACCTTCATTTTGGTTAACACACTCTGAGAACCCAAGATGCATCAACTGACAAAGCTTGATGATTCAAAGCATTATATTATTTGAAATATTTAAATATTACCTTGAAATTCCAAAAGTAGATCACTGTGTCCTTCTTTTTAATTGAATTATTTTGAGGACCCAAGATGAAGCAACTGACAAAGTTTGCTGATTTTAAGCCAATTGGTATCTGAAAATATTCAAAAAAGTAGGTCACTGTGGCCTACTTTTGAGTCAACTTAATATGTAACCTAAGATGCATCAATTGACAAGACTTGATGACCCTTTGCCTTACAGGAAGCAAAATATCAAAGTTTTGACAAAACATAATCTACAACATATCCTCATTCTTGTATGCAAGTTTTGTGATAATCTGCCCCGTGCTTCTTGAGAAGATTTGTTTAGCGACCTGTACTTTTTATATCATTTTCCCAATTATCTTCCCTTGCTTAAGGGTCACAACCCTGTTTTTAGTATAAATGAGAGCCAATTGACCAGAGATACTCTGACAATTTGACAAAAATTGGTCAAGGGGTTCTCGAGTTATGGCCCATATTCCTAAAAGTTGATGCACACTGCACAAATTGCCATAGCATTAGCTCTTTGAAGCCTTCTGCTCAGAAGAGCTAATAATATCATGATCCAATAAACTTAAGATACCACATCTAAGGGCAAATGATGAAAAGTCGGAGATAATGGTCACTTTAAAGTGCTTGTCTTAAACAATTCATTGAAAAGAATTTGCTTCCATGTAAAATTGATTTCTGTTTTGTAAGATTTTTCTTATTTATACCCATGTAAAACTTTGATGAAGCATAGTGGCCACACCCTACCCCAGGGTTATGTTTTAAATAAACTTGAATCCACATTACCTGTGGATGCTGCAATATAAATGACTAATCTTTTGTTGTTCTTGAGAAGATTATTGATGATTTTTCCTATATATACCATGCAAGACTTTGACCACCCATGGAGGCCCCATCCTATCCCAGGGGGTCATGATTTAAACAATTTAGAATTTACACTATCCCAGTATGCATCCATTTAAGTTTCGGCTTTTCTGGCCAAGTGGTTCTTGAGAATTTTTAATGACCCCACCCTATTTTTGTCTTCTCTTGATTATCTCCCCTTGTAAGGGGGCTTGGCTCTTCATTTTAACAATTTAAACTTCATTTTACCCAAGAATGCTTTGTACCAACTCTGCTTAAAATCAGCCTAGTAGTTCTTGGAAAGTTAAAAATGTGAAATGTTTACAGACGGATGGATGGACAGCTAAATGGTCGGACAGACAATTGGTGATCAGAAAAGCTCAACTGAGCTTTCAGTTGAGATGAACTAAAAACAAAACCATCAAGTCTTTATTTCTCAATCAGCAAAATAAAGACACATATTACAAAGCAACTCATTTGTATACCCAACAAAATAGCTTACTGTGATGGAATGAAAACAAAATGATATACACTATATGCCTGACCATTTCATGGTTGGGGGCATAAAAATACTGAATAGTCTTCTGATAGAAATTGTTTACGATAGACAGGCATTCTGATTTCAGTAAACTTTGGTTAAGAGTTTAATCAAAAGATGAACACAAATAAACCGGACAGTTATGTAGAACCCGCAAGTCTAGTTTTTCTTTAAAAGCACAGTTCCATAAAATGTCATGGTTTCATCCACCAGATAATTCTGAAATGTATACATATAAAAGAATAAAATTGTTCATTAACATCAGTAGCTGTCAAACTGTAGATTTATGATTTTACACAACCTTTGACCATGGTCTTTGACCATTACGCTGCAAATCTCAGTGCAATTTATGTCACAAGATTTTCTGCGCATGGTATGGGAGAATTCTCCACTTTCCAGCATTGGTCAACCTTTCATTTCGTAATTCCAGGCACATTCTTTAACCAACCTGTATATTTTATTCATTTTGTAACCCTTGTTACAGTCGTCCCTACCAACGAATAAACTCAATTGTTTTGAATTTTCTGCCATCCTACAAGAAATTCAAAACAATTGAGTATATTGGTCATCCCCCCACCATGTGCAGAAAATCTTGCGATGTAAATTTGACCATATTTGCATCACAGGATCTGTAGTGTTATGGTCAAAGACTAAAATATAAAACCTTAATGCAACAGTTCTGAAGCTATGACATCAGTTATCAGCAAAAAAAGCTGATGAAAAATATTTTAGAACCTTTTTTTCTGAGAAAGAAATTAAAATATATGAAGTAAGTTTTGTTTCACTGCAAGCATCAAGACTCAAGTTTTTCTTTTATGGAAGTACAGAGTAAAGGAATAAAACATGTTTAAAAGATTTATGTATAATTTTCTTACCCCCTCTTTCAATACCAACAATGATGGCAATTTATCAATTGGCATTTCAAAACAATCTGTGAGCTCGAAACAGTGAATGCATTCTCTTTCTGTACAGGTGGTTGGTGAAATGCATTCCAAATGGAATACAGAAGGGAGAATTTCTGGGTCAATAATCTGACAAATAAATGTGTACACACTCTGAAAAAAAAAGAACCATCAATATACAAAGGTGCAAGACTTCTTTCTGGAAAAAAAATTTCAATTATTATCTTTTATGTGAGATCCATTTTTCTGTTGCTCCACTGTGATGTTAAATAATTGTCCAATTACTGTTGTTTTGTGTGAATAAGACAGCTTAATATGTGCATTAAAAGTACATTAAATTCAGAGGAAAATATATTTCTATTCATTTAATATGCTATGAGATGTATACATTCAAAACACCATTCACTCCAAAATTGCAGATGGTGACCTACATGTACATACCAGAGCTGCTTGAACATTTTTTTAATGCCATATTATATCCAAAATTTGTAGACATTTTTAAAAATTAAATTCGAATTCTTTCAATTTGAAATTTAGAATTGCCAAAAATTTATTACTCTACTATCAAATACTCACTTATAGTGAGAAAATCATTCTCAAATTTGCTGGCTACTAGAGTATCCCATTGATGACTTTTCATCATATTACGTATCATTTCAATTTATTTCTTACATGTAACAACTCATGATGGCCAAGTTAGTATCTATCTAAAAAAATGTTACTTTAAATCCAAATCATGTAATAAGAAGAAAATTGATTCACTAGTAATAACTCTTGTTAAATACATATACAAGGATTACTGTCTTCATTATGTTTATGATATGATAATGTGCACTTTTCATGCATCATATGTATCATACCTGTACTGTGTCTGTATGATGAAAGGCCCTAGAAAATGACATTCCCCCATGATTTTCATACACCACAGTCACCATCTTTCCATTGTCTGGGAATGTCAAGGCTATTCCGTCTGCCATCTTGAAGTTGAAAAGCAATTTAAAATTATGATTAATAGGCCTTTCGGTTCCTAATATGACCTCCAAATACTTTTGAAAACAAGAGCCCATAAGCCATAAAATTCAACCAAGAGACGGTTGCCTTGTTGATCTTTAGAAGATTTTGCATTTTTCCCCTTTCCACTCCCATAAAAATTTTAATCCTATATTTGGCCCAAATCTAGCCCCAAGAGAATGTGATTTACTAAGTCTGATTCAACATGTTGGATGCTTTAATTCCAAAATGACTAACATGGTCTTAATGTTCAGGAGGAGATTTTTTTTTTACAGATTTCTTTTTTTCTTCTATATTTTCACCTGTGAACCTTTGATCTTCTATTCTGGCATCTCCTTACTTACCCTTGAAGGCCTAATATGAATTTGGTTGAAATTAGCCTACTGGTTCTGGAGATCGAATATAGGTTTAGAGACATACCAGGTACAAAACTTACCCTTCTAGACAGAATTAACAATTCCAAGCATTAACATAATACTTTATGTAAGTCCAATTAATTTTTTTTCCAACAGCCCTTGATCATTTAAGGGCAAATAAAGTAGTTTACATTGTACTATGTGTGCAAGTACATGTACTGGGAAATAGGGTTTACTAAGGATTACTGAGAAGTAAGTTATGAGCAGTGAACTTCTTCAAGTGAACACTTCAAGACAATATACCGTATAGCGGGGTGCTAATTTTGGCTTATCTTAGTGGTTTGGTAGTAGCCCGCTAAAATTTTAATCACTAAAATATTCAGTATTCTTCTTAGTGTTCTTTTGCAATGTGTTCAAACCCTGTGTCCGCTAAAATTAATTACGCCAAAATGATTGGCATAAATTTGAACAGGCAAAACGCCAAATTTTACACCCGCCAAGAAATCCCGCTATACGATAACTGTATCATAATGTCAAACCTCCTTTCTCTTTATCTTCTTTTCCAAGACCTACAATAAAGAAAAATTTGCTGATGTATCCATACTTGTATAAAAAAGTATTCTTGGGAAAAACTAAAAAAATAAATAGTACTTTTTAAAGATATTTAATATGGTATACACTTACATCACAAAATGCTGCTACTTCTATGTCCATTAGCTGAAAATAATCAAAGAATCTGATATACATGTATACATGTTGAGAAACTGCCACTTTTATGATTTCTCATTTGATTGATTACTTTTTGATATTAAGAACAAGATAGCAGTAAACATATATAATACATGTATTCAATATTGACAACTTACTGGCAAATCCTCTAATACCGGTACATCCTCCTTCGAAAGCTGAAAGAAAGAACAGTAAATACATTTATGCCCTGTTCACACCGAGAATTTACTAGTAATCTGAATCAAATGTAAGTTACAGCAAATTAAATTTGAATCCCATTTACACGGAGATTACAAATTAATTTAATTTGAATTAAATTACTGTGCATCAAATTACTCCGCATTAGCTCTTTAGATAATTAGAATTAAAATTCTGACACGTGCTTAATGGCTAAATCAAGTCGCATGCCACATGTCAGTGGTCAGATATAGGTACTTATGCTATTTTTTTTTTAGTGAAAAACAAAGTGAAATTATGCTTATCACTGAAATGATTACAGTCACCATGACATTATGTCTAATGGATCTGCTCTGCACAATGTGAAGTGATTTGCAAATGACATCATGATAGCATTATACAACATGTGCAAATCTAGGGGGGTGGGGTGGGGTCGAGGTCCCTAAAAGGACCTTGGACGCCTCACTAGCAAAGCGCAGACCCCTGTTAAGTAAAGTGGGTATGAAAAGTCATACATATAAAGCTTAAGAAATGAATGGGAACATGCATTATTTCACTTCTCATTAATTTACTGCAAATTAAAACTCCCTGTGTGAACAGGTCATTACATTAACTATCTCATTCCAAATCATTATTAAGGAAAAACTAGACTAGTGAAGTTTTAAGGAAAAAAGTAGATTGCTTGATGTTAAATTGTTGCTTATTTCAATATCATAATCATTTCTATACACATATGTATAAATGTATTGTTTAAAGATAACAAATATGTGTACTTAGTATACATTATATTTTACATACAGCATCAGACTTAGGATCTGTATTAATGTCTGAAGAAAGAGAGGGTACCTCAATGTCCGGTAGCTCATCAGAAATCTAATATATATATATATATATATATATATATATATATATATATATATATATATATATATATATATATATACAATGAAAAAAGTCAAGATTCTCAAGACCTGAAAATTCATTTTATCTGTGAGTGCTTCTTGCCTTTTAACCTTTAATGGCTCTTCAGATCAACAGTTACAAAATGAATCTCAAATTGCTTAGTAACATTCCACAGGCATCGGAAATGGGGGGGGGGGCTTAGCCCCCACCACTTTTTTCAATAGATGGACATAATATAGGCATTGAAAATTGGGGCTTACCTTTTTCTGTTGGTTTAGCTCCCTATTTCAGCTAACCCCTCCCCCCTTTCAATTTGCTTCTGATGTTACAGATGTGTTCATAAGCACAACATCAATTATGAAGAAAAAAAAATACTTCTACCAACAAGATTGATAACTCTTGTGTCTAACAATGCTGCCTATCATTAATAAGGAATACACATAACACATGAAGTTTATGACAAACAGACCCAAAATTATGCACAGACTGAGTAGCCAATTTTAGTCCTTTATTGAATTACAATTTAAAGGCAATGGATTGGTAAAATGTTTGCACAATTAAGCTGTTATTTTTCCTGGACTCATAAATAGCCATTAGCTAGTTTTCATCTTTCAAATATCAGCAATAGAATAGATATTATTAAACCAGAATGCACACCTGGAACTCATGATCGATGTTGACTAATTCTAAAGTTTTCTTTGTTTTTACATTTACGTGCATTTGTGTTTGTTTGTAATAAATCATACATGCAATTGATGTTACTTTCCCCCTGACATGCTATAGCTGCATAAACTTGACAATTTTATGGAGACTGAGCATCAATAGCAATATAATTTAGATACTAGTTTATATATACGTCTATACAAGTAAGATCTGTGCAGCAAAATCTTCAGACTGTGAAGAAGTCTGCGGTTTATAATAATGCTCAAGAAAAAGATTAAACTGAGAGAAAAAGGGAGGAAATTTTTTTTCTTCTTCAATGAGTCATGTTTAGCTTTAAGTTTATGACCATGAACAATATCCCCCATTGAAAAGTGTTTAAAATACAATTGAAAATATTCACCTGGATTCATTAGGAAAGTAGCAATCTACTTGTACTAAAACATACTAACATACCTCATTTTCAACAATGATTGGAGACAACTTCCTTTTTCTTTGTGGTTGTTCCTCTGCATTACTGCCTAGTGATGACCCTTTCCCATCTAATTCCTTTGATGTTGATGGCTCCAAATCCTGCACATAACGATTATACAGCTTGCTAGAATAATACTAACATAATACAAGTCATATGTGATTACATGTAATTATAAACAAGGGCAGACAACTTACATAACATTCTGTGGATGCTTTCATGTCTCGTTTTCTCTTTTCCTTTTGGGTCTGCAAATGAAATATCTTGTGACTAAGGTGACCAAAAATCATAATGAATCCTGTTACCTTGTGTAATAATAAAATTATGACTAAGTTAATAGCGAAATGTTCGTTATTTGATAGATTATCCAAATTTACTGAAAGTTAATTTAAATTAATAACTATAATTACTAAAAAAAAAAAAGAAAATGGAGGAACTGTTGGCAACAGGCTAGCAAAATGACACCTAGTTATTCAATAGAGTTTTCAATAGCAAAAAATTGATTTTGCCATTATACCCATATGGTAAAGGGGGGGGGGGTGTTGTGTTAAAAACCTATTGTGAGTCTCCTTAAATTTTATTCAGTGGTATTGTTTTGGATAGGGTATATGGGTATGCCCAACTATTACAAATGTACCAATGGACATTCCAATCACAATTAGGAATGTTTAAGCTGTAGAACGAAAAAAACCCCAAACAACTAGAAAGTCATGAAAAATAAACACTTACTGATCTTGATAATTCCATTTTCGGGAGTATACAATCATCATCAGAACCCTACATTTAAAAAAATGCACAATTTTTAAGTAAGTTCATCACAAAAGTTTCTAAAAATGTTGACTGCTTTATATGGAATTTGTACCCAGTATGATCTTTCTGATCAATTTGTCAGTTTACTGCATGTGGCCATCCCTAATAAAAATCTTCAAATATTACATGTAAGTTCAAATTTAAGAGAAACAATCTCTAGCTTTCATATAATCACTTATATTAAACAGAGTACACTATTAATTGGTACAGTGGTAAATTATATTTTGATGCCTAAAAATACACCCAAATGCATGCAGTTTCTTTCAAATTCTGGTCAATTTTAGAAATTTTGTTGACTTTCCCCAGTGAAGTTTCAGACTAATTTCTTCAATTGTGAAGCCACAAGAAACTTTTAAAATTTTTGTTTAAAAAACTCTCATAAACAACAATGGCAATTTACTTGTACTAAACATACCTCATTTTCAATAATGATTGGAGACAATTTTATTTTTCTATGTGGTTGTTCCTCTACATTACTGCCTAGTGGTGACCCTTTCCCATCTAATTCCTTTGATGTTGATGGCTCCAAATCCTGCACATAACCATTATACAGCTTGCTTGAAAAATAATTAATACAAGTCATGCAAAATTCATTTTAAACAGGGTCAGATCACTTACATAACATTCTGTGGATGCTTTCATTCCATGTTTTCTCTCTTTCTTTGGGGTCTGCAAAGGAAAAATATACATGTATCTGTGTTCTAAATTCCTTGAACTACATGTATTTTAAAATTACTTACTGCATAATCTTTAATTTCAAAATTGCACTTAGGTTCTTAAGGCATATCAGTGATGAAAGCAAGCGGAGCAGGAGTCACAATGCTCACCAAAGTCACATCCTCTCTGCTTATAAGCTAAAGATTTATATAAAAAAAAAAGAAGCTTTTTATTCCATGAACAATTTAACCAACCCAACTTAGAACAAGCAGACCATGATTAAACTGAACTTGAATCCACACAGAGAGGGGGGGGGGGTTACATCATGTTCAGAAGAAATTTTTAGCATTTTACTTCCATATGCATGCATTTTGTGAAAATTGATACCCTATTTAAGCCAAATCCTATCCCTATGATAAATGTTTTTTGTTTTTGTTTTTCAATTGGAAACTTAAATCCAATGGAAGGGAAGGTTGCATTGCAATATGAATTAGTGTGGCACTGCAACTACTGAAAACATATTTTTTTTTTCATAATTTCTTTGCTTTCACATGTACCGGTAAATGGGTTTTTAACCCCCAATGTTACCCCGTCCTACCTCCAGGTACCATTCAGTTCTTTAAATCTGCACTACAAAAGTCTCCATACATGCATATTAATGTCACATCATATTCCTGCTGCACTTGAGGAGGAGATTTCCAAATTTTTTTTTTTTCTATTTATTCAAATTCATGTAAAATTTGGATCCCATATTTTAATTCACCACAACCAATCCTGGGGAATAGGGGGTGGGGATTTGAACAAATATTTCGATGACATCCATCATATTTCTGTTCATTTTATACTCTCCCCTTCCAAGAGGGTGTGGTTCTTAAGATAAATAAATTTTCTCTTCATCAAAGTATGCTTTGTGCCAAGTTTGATTGATATTGATCCAATGCTTTTGGAGAAGTCAAAATATTAAATGTTTACTATGACAAAAACAATGAAGATTGACAATGGACATATATTCCTATCATAAAAAGCTCACTTTAACCTTACATTTGGCCCACATGTTAAAAAAATTCATTATTATGATGTAACTACCTCAAGATCCAGCTCTTCAAAGTCTTCAAATTCATCAGATATCTTAATTAAAAATAAAAATTGATTTTTAAAAAGCTCATAATTATACAAAGATGTAAAAAATATTTGCTATCAGTTCATCTAATCCATTATCTAGACTACCTCCAGTTATTAAATGAAGTGAACTGATCTAAATGCACATGTAAGTCTAAGTAGGATTGTTGTTTGATTTTCATAATTAAGGATAAATAATACTAACAAAATTTAAATATCTTTGCTTAAATAGGAGCCTCTCTAACTAAAGAAGTGATATTTGTTTAGTTGAACAACTTTATTTTTGACCAAGCTACAAAATTTGGTGAAAAGTAGGAAAATGTAACTTTATAGCTAAAAAATTATTTTTGAAAATTGAAGAAATATATGAAGTTTTGTTACTGAAAAGTTTCTAGGAACATTTTCTAGTGTCAATTTTTACATTTTACATAATTAAAATTTTCTAATTAGATTTTGATTGAAAGAAATAATGAAAAGATATCAATGTAACTCTTCTGTATGGGAGATAAGAAAATTTGATGTGGTATTGTACCTTTAATTCATTCATATAGACAGATTTCTTTCTGTTTACCTTATTCTTTGCATTTAAAGATTCGACAAGTCTATTAATTTAATCATGAACATACGTCAAACAATATCATATACATGTATAAGCTTTAAGATACAAAGTATGTGTTTAAAAATATCATTTTTTTTCTTTACAGAATATATTTTGTGACAATTTTACATTATTTTTGTGTCAGATCACAGAAATTGCATTTGCATGAATTTATGATCTAACACAACCAACAGTGAGAAATTAAAAAAAAAAAAACAAATAAAGAGAAAGTTACTATATGCTACATGGAAAGTAAGAAATGCTGTAAAAATTATCTGAGTTTATCTATGGTTATTTATTTAAATCTTGACAAGACTATTTCTTTCTTAATCAATTAAAAAAATGAAAAATTTACTTCATGCAAGCATATTCAATTCCCTTTATGCCCTAAAGAAGGAAAAGGTTATCTTCCATTACACAATCTAAAACATCATTGAAAACGCAGAATTTGTTGTCCCTTACATAAAATCTTTATTTTTAAGCTAAATTAAAATCATGATAAATCATTTTGTGAAAATAAATAACACTACCACAAAGTAATGCTAACTTTATGACATTCCTTGAAGTCATATCTGCATGTCATTCTGCCCACCATATTATAATTCTTTTGAAAATTACTTTAAGATGCTTTTTTAATACAATAGGAAAAGATTAAAGTTATTATTGTCATCCTATAAGCACTTTACTCTAACATTACTATTTTCAACATTCTTCATTTCTTTGGAACTGTCAATTTACTTTATAAAAGATAAAAGGAAGTACATGTACTGGCACAATTAACTTTGAAAGCATTATATTCTTATTTATACATGTAGGTACAAATATATTAATTTTACAAGGGGAATATGGACTTAGATATGAGCAGACTGACAGAAAAACAAAATCATGAAACGAAAAGATCAATTAATCAAATCATTACATGCTAGAATTCAAAGATTAAACAAAAAATAAACATAATTGTAAATCACTAAAACCTCTGATAATTTCTGCCCTTTGTATTTTTCTGTAATTTCTCTCCTATCTAAAACACCAAAAAGTGAAGAAAAATACAAAAGAAAACTTGTCAATCATTTACAATAACTTCCTTATCTGTGCAGCAGACATCATCTACATGTATATCGAATCTGTTGGAACTTCCAATTCACTTCAAGCTAACCATGGTATTTAAGATATCAATGTTTGAAATATTGAAGTTCAATAGTATTAATTGCATAACAAAATGTTTATCTTAAATAATGTTGTCCTCCAATTTGGCTGCCATTATTTGAATTTCAAACAGGCAGACACAAAAGTACTTCATGATAATTTTTTTTAAAAAACATGAGTACTGAAATTGGGCCATCCTTAAAAAATTGTTTGTTTGGAATTGCCGCCTATGGGTTTCTAACCAAGGCGGGAGGGAGTGAGCGCAATGGAAATTGAGTACTCAGAATGTACATGAAAATAATAAATAAGATCTTTGCATTTCAATCGTCTATTAACTATGTACATGTATCTGCAAGCAACTTTGTTTATATTATAAACAACTTACACTGTAACAAAATAATGTGATCGGTATATCTCTCTGTGCACATTAGTCTACCATGTTGACGACACAATAACAAGTTACTCTTTCCCATAAAAATTAGGCCCTGCGTCCTTATATATAACTTTCCTTTTGCTGCATTATGAATATTCATGATTTTATTTGGAACATATCGGTACTTTTCACATTGTTTACAGAAATTGATGGGTGTTCCAAATAGGTGTGTATCAGTTCATCAAACTGACGCACCTTAACCTTTAGCAGGGAATCTATCTTTTTAGGGTGATTTTCAAGAAATCAACAAAAAATATCGATTTACTCTTAATTAGTGAAAAATCAGTACGGGTATAATAATGATTTCTATAAATGTGCTATTAGATGTATGTCCTTCTACAATAAAGATAATGAATTGAAATTGATTTTGTTCTACACTGTAGATGTAAATATTAGTGATAATTGATTTTGTTCTACACTGTAGATGTAAATATTAGTGATAATTGATTTTGTTCTACACTGTAGATGTAAATATTAGTGATAATTGCTGCCCATAACCCAGTATATAATTAATTATACAGTTAAAAGAATGTTCAGGCAAACACAAAACAATACTTTTTGACATGATTATAATTAAGTTTGACCTTTAAATATAGAAAAAAATCCTTGTAATTACATCAAAGTATTTCAAAGGTGTTTTGTATTTTTTTTCTAAGGATTAAGTGTGTGTAAATACAATGAAAGTTAGGTAAGGCTAATTTTTAAATTAATATTTGTCTGTCCTTCCCTGACTTAGGGTAAAAACATTCATTCAGTAGGTAAGTAGGGATTTTTTTCCCAGAAAATTTCAACATCAATGCAGAATTTCTAAAATATATTTTAAAAAAAACTTGTTGACAGGATGAGAAAATTCTAGAATGAAAATTTTAAAATTGATCATTTTCTTGAGGTAAAACAAAATTGACATGAACCATTTTGAGCCTGTTAGTCGGGAGAGGGCAATTTTTTTAAAAATGGCTTGAGGTAAATTCTCAAACAGCTCTTAAAGTATTACCTTTCCCTCTGGCCTTTGCATATATCTTTAGTGGTACATATTTTTTATTTGTTTTTAGTTTCTCCAAGTGACCAAGTGTGAATTGTTGGGGGTTCTCTATCGCTTCAATACCACATTTTCCCATTATGTAGGGAAGGAAAATAATCTTCCCTCTGAACATGTCACTAATTTTGGACATCC